GTACAGTTAGTCAATTTCACAAATAGTAGGAATAATTTAAGGAAATTGCCCAAAAAAATACCTATTTTGCAAAGCAAAGCTATGACCCATTTAAAGGTCCAACTAGTAGGGTTGTAAATGGTATTCCAGGGGTGTGCACTATTTGGTTAAAACCGAAAAATTGAATTAAAAATTTTGGTTTCGATTTTTTTTTTTGTTTTTGGTTAAATCGGATCAATTAATTTGGTTAACCAAATTAACCGAACTTTCTATTATTATATATAATATGTAAGATATAATATATAATATATTATATTATATATATATTAATATATAATAAAATGAAATTTGATTTCACAATATATATTTTATAATGTATAATATGTATTATATGTTATTATATATATATATATAATAGAATATATATTATTAAAATTCAGTTTTAACCAAAAATCAAACCAAAATTTTCGGTTTCAGTTCAGTTTTTTATTTTAATTTGGTTTTTTAAATTTTGATTTATCATATTCAGTTTTTAACCAAATAAACCAAATGCTCACCCCTAAGCCCTAATTCCATGTCCAAATTCGAATTTACCATTCAATATCCAATATAATCCAAAGTCAATTCAAATCCAAGTGATGGATAAGACCCGACCAAACGTGCCCTGTCCAAGTTTGCTTTATTAATATTCAAATTCGGATGTTGACTACCGTTATTAAATTAAATTAAATACAATAAAAATATTATATTTACTAAGATAATCTAAAAATGTCTTAGATATAGTATACCATAAACAAATTGAATTAAATCTAATGACTGGAGTTGAAGTTGGACTAATTCCTAAACCTCAAATATTTTATAATTTAATTATTTTATCCATTGAGAAACAAAGCAATAATAAATCATTTAATTCAACTTTTATCAAATTCCTTTGAACCTATCACTCTTTTAGGAAAACACAGTATTCAACTCAACTTACTAATAGGAGAATGTAAGTTATATGCGATATATATAATCAGATCAAACAAGGGTGCATCCATAATAAATCCTATTATATACGGATCAAATTTAGATCACTCTTAAGTGGATACTTTCGTATCATTCCACCTATATCCAATGTATTGGTTGGTACTTATCTATCTATTAGTAACTGTGCAATGATAGTAATAATGTATCCAATTTTTTTTATAAAATTTATGTATTTTTTATTTTTTGTTTTTTATTATTAACAGGAGCGGATTATAAATCCAAATCTGATTATATAAACACCTCATCCAAATATTTGATAATCGTATCGAGTTGTGAAGTTTCAAGTATCATTAATAGGCTTGTTTACTTAGCTAGATACTTATTTTTGTAATATTTAATTTTTTTATGTATCTTTTTTTGTTCATTTATCAAAAAAGTGTAAGATTTAAATAGAGGAATTGAATAGGGTGAAAAGTAGTAGTTCAATTTACAATTTAAACCTCATAATTAAATAGGGACTAAATTAAAAAATGAGTATTTTAGCCAAAATAAAGTTTCAACATCTTATTAATATTTTTAATGGTAGTGTAAATATAGAATTATAAATGTGTTCAATTTTTCCATAATTTTTTTTTGTATTTTTGTGTGTAAAAATAATTCTAATATGTTACAGTTACTTTTTGTTTAATATGATAAACATAAGACATTATACATGTGCTTGAATATTTTTTTGCAAAATTTATGTATTTTTTCATTTTTGTATTTTTATATTTGATTAACTTTTATTATTTATTTACGGCATTAAAGGTTAACATGTTTGACCCAAAATTTAAACTATTGATTTTTGCCAAATAGTAAAATAATTTCATTTTTTGTCAGTTCTAAATTATGTATTTCATTTTCATTACCAATAAAATAATTATTGTTTATTACACTTATTTTTTTAATTTGATTAATAAAAATATCATAAATGTGTAATATTTTTAAATTTTTTGTGAGTTTCTATATTTATTTTTATTTTAAAATTTTTATTACCTAATTATGAAATCTTAGGTTGATCAATTTGATTCGGATGGTTGAATTGCATAGCCACCACTTGGATTAAAAATTGTTTGGTTTTTGAGTTAGTTTTAAAATATATGGGTTTATAAGCTATAATAAAATGGTTTTTATACCGTTTCTCAATTAAACAAAGAAGTAGAGGGCAATTTTAGTCCAAAAAAGTTTCACATTGCATTCACACTTTTACATACATACATACATACATATTATATATATATATATATATATATATATAAGACAATCCATGTTACCATGCCTTTACTTGCTCGGTTACCTCTCCCCCTTCTCACCACTCCCAATTTGCCATCTTAGCACCTTCTCTCTTCATTCATCTCCATTCCATTCCCATTGAGTTCTCTCTCCCCCACAACTTTTCTCACTTTCTATAACAACCTAACTTTTCTCCTTAATTAACTTAATATATGTTTTATCCTCTCATTCACTCCTATCTCTAATTCCCCTCTATTCTCTCCACTTTTCCACAAAAATAATGCCACAATTTATTAAGATTTGGTTTTCCAAATCAAACAATATTTATATCTATAGACGCGATCTCAAGTAAAGAGAGGGGAATAAGGGGAATTCAATGTTTCCTATATATTCATGGCATCTTCCGTTATTATTAAATAATCTATTATTAAATAATAATCTATTGTTAAATAATTCATTAGTTATGAAAATTATTAAAAGTCTCTAGAGAATATGCTACAAAAATTATGAAATAATTATTTCAGAAATAATCCATTATTTAACAAATATTAAATAATTTAATAATCTACCAAAATTAATAAACAATCCATTATTTAATAATTTTTTGTTATTAATAAATGTTCAAAATTTCAACGTTTAGTGTAATTTACATTAATCATTGTAATTTAATAAATTTTCACTAAATTTTTACAATAGTTATTTATTGATAAAAGATATTACTAATTAGCATAATTTACTAATTTATATAAATCAATAATTATAGTTAACAATTATCAAATAATTTAGGGAAACTCTTTAGCTATTATCCATAATTATTTTTAAATAAGTAATTAAAAATAAGAAATTAATTTATGAAAAAAATATTCCCCAAGACTATTTAAATAATAATCCATTATTATTATTTAACTAAATAATTATTAAAAAATTTAGGAAATTAATCTATAAAAAATTGTTTCATAATTATTTAAATAACAGACAATTATTATTATTTCAATAAATAATTATTAAATAATTTAGGAAAATTATTAAATCTATCCACACCGATCTAGACCACTTGGTTGAATTCGTCATACCTGGTTTTACACTAATTAACAACAAATGGTTTATTTTTAATTAAAATTAATGTAATTTACCATAATTGCATTAATTTACTATAATTACATTTACTTTGATTAGTAGTAAATAATTTATATTAATTTATTTTTATTGTAAATAATTAATTTACTATACATTACTGTTAGTCAATCAATTTCAATAGTTTTTTGGAAATTATCATAAAATATTGTAAGTTATTATAATTTAATACCGTTAGTTAATTAGTTGTAAAAAATTATTAGAATTGTAGGAATGGCAATTTTCCCTATAAAACTAGGCCCTACCCTACCCGCCTCAAACGGGGCAAGTTTTCTCAAATCTTAAATGGGGACGGGGCAGTGACGGAGTGGAGATAGGGAAAATATTTTTGTCCCAAATTAGGGATGGGGTTTGCATATAATTTCTTGAATTCGATGGTAAATTAGTAAAATATCCATAGATTTAATATTGATTTTTAAAGTATCTCTAAGTTCCTCATATTCTTATAATCTTAGGATCTCATAATTTCATTTATAAAATACCCTCAAATTGTCAATCTAAATTCTAAAATACTCTCAAATTCTTATAATCCTATTTATAAAATATCCATAAAATAGATTTTTAGGTGATTGCTTAGGGTGGGAAAAAATTAGAAATTCCCCATCTCTGATGAAGAATGGGTGCCTCACCCTGAACCCGCCCCGCCACTGGGATTGGGGCGGGGATGAAATAGAATATCTTGACTTACGAGGGCAAAGGCCAATGAGGGATGCCCCATCCTGTGAGGCTGTGAATCTCACGGGGCTCCACTAGTATCTTATTAATTCAATACAAACCGATGCAACGTACGTATCACACTTGTATTGTTATATATATTAAAAATCGAATTTCTCGCCAACAATTTGAATCCTATTTAATGTGCAGTGTTGCCTCTCTCTTTTTAGCCTAGACAGACTGGATTCATTCAATAATGCTCAGAATACAATAAAAAAAACACTTAGGACGAAGGACAAACAAACAACCAGGAAATTAAAAAAGAAAATCCACCTTCAAACTCTAATTAAAACACATTACTCTATCAAGTCTAGTGGCTCTCTCTCTCTCTCTCTCTGATCAAAGCTTAGATAGGATAGTTAATGGAGATAGACTCCTCAGAAATAAGAAAATATGAAAGACAATACAAAGAGGAGCATCAGATTTGGAAGTCTATATGTATTGTTGACCATTTAATGCACATTAGTCTATTAATTAGTCTCACACAACGAGCCAACAAGTGCAAATTGCAAAATCTCTCATTGACTCGTTGTTCCATCATTGAGATCGGCACCAATTAGGAAGATCATTTACTACAAAAATGATTGATTGATTACCCTAGTTATCTTTTCTATTCTTTTTCCATATCGGAGGTCCATTAAGTTTTGCACAAAAATAACAAAATGCAAACACCAAATAGGCCGTTCTTTATTCACAAGGAAATATGTGAGAAAGGGAAGTTTGTATTAAATTTCATAACTCGTAAGATGCCTCATTTCCTGCATAGTTGAAATGTTTCCATCTCTACATGCGGCTCATCTCAATTCGTCCTACTTGTTATTCATGAGTTTAAGCGGGGTTTTCACCATCGAAAACTCACTCGCAGAAGACACAGCCTAGGTTCTGCAAGTGCAAACGCATAATGCACATCCATCGCCTTAAAACAGATTGGCTTACCTAATGCAACCAAGGTTATTCATACCACCATAATAGTCAATAGAACATGATTACATGAATGAAACTACCTCTTCAAATTTAGCACCAACATTATGTCACTTGACAGAACAAACATTGAAAGCCGAATCCAAATTCTTTAGTTCAATAACTAAAGCAGAACCTATAAATATAATCATTTAGATGTCCCAAAAGCCCAAATACCACTGGGTTCTAAGATTCTTTTACGTTCGTGAAGAACTTTTTTTGCTACAACAATCTGAACCACATCTGTAACAAAGACAAGCTGCAAATTCAACGCCCCATCCACATAGCAAACCCAGTTTGTCCACCATTTGCCTTTGGTCAAGATTAATTCATCACTGTTGCCCCTCGCCTGATTCCCGTTTAGGGGCTTCTTTGATCTCATCCCCACCCTCCTCCTGCAAGCAATCCAAACAAAACAAAATAAGCAAATCGAGACACAGGAATTGCATTAGGATTCTACCTTGTGCCTCTCATATTTGAGCTATACGGAGAGAGGATTATGTCAAACAGATCATAAATCTGATTAAGGACCTAAGGACCTTTTCCTAAACCTGCAGCTAGGTCAGTTCCACTCCAATTATCTCAAAGTGGTGTTGGTTATTTAAAATTTTTCCAAGCTACAGCACAAAAGAAAGGCTTGTTTGGCCATGGCTTGCCGGTTGCTAGCAAACCAACCCCCTGCCCCTAGGCCCCTACTCCAGCAAAAGAAATCTGGAAGGAAATGCTAAAAAGTAAAAAAGAATCTACAAGTGTGCAGGGCAAGGTTCAAAATATCGAAACACCCTGATAGGGGGGATGGGTGTATTGGTACTTTGAACCTAACACTAACCTTTTTTTTAGTTTTTTTTTTCAAAATTCGGGAGAGGGGTGGGAATATTAATGTTTAACATTCAAAACATATGTTTCATAAAAAATCCTTAAAAGCAATGTATTGGCCGATACTTGCAAAATTTTGATCCTTGTGCAGGGTGTGTGTGTGTGTGTGTGGAGAGAGAGAGAGAGAGACCGTAATATCAGAGGTCCACAGTGTCAGGTTGTCTCGGAGGAGTTGCATGATCAATGTGCTATCCTTGTACGATTCCTCACCCAAAGTGTCAAGCTCAGAAATGGCCTCATCAAAAGCCTGCCAGGCAGAAATAACACTTGTAAGAACAAAATAGATATGCAAGAATCTACCCTTTAAACCAATAGGATATGTTCATCGTTTTGGGTTGAAACATTAATATGATCATAAGCACAATATTGGTAACTAGAGTGAAAGTAGTGGCACAGAAGTAACAAGTGATGGAAGCCTAGTAAAATCCAAATATCCAACTAGTTGCTTCACAATCTCGTGGGTTCAAGTTGTACCAAAAAATATGTACAAAATAACAGATTAAATGATTGAAGGAATATCTAACAATGGACACCGGGAAGAAAATAAAGCAACCATTCTCCAATTGCATGTACATATTAAAACTGAGGACAAAGCAGAGCATTATCTTTAAATTAATATGGATTTGAAGGATTTTACTTGTCTAGGTCCACATGAAGGCACATCTAAATTGAGAACAGGATGGAATAGACTCCAACCTTTAGATCTTGAAGCATATACAATCGAGTATAGAAAAGAAACACATTGTCCAGGCATTGCCTTTGTGCATCATCCCTGTGCTCTTTTTTCATGGCATACACCTTATCTAAAGTTTATCTATTGTTTTATCAATTATTTCACAAAAGGAGCAATACTTCTATAAAGAGTGGCAAACTGCTCCCAGAATGTAGAGTTTGCTTCTCAGTAAATTATATCAACCAGCAGACCAATGCAAGGGACTCTTTAATACATGATTCACAAATAAGTTTTTCTTTTTTTCTGTAAAACTAGGATACTACTGGAGCTGATAGGATTTGGAACAAGGTTGGCTGAGGGTCTCTCAGGTCTGAATCCCTGCCACATCTGTAAAGCTTACTGTAACTGGCAAGTCAGAGTTAAACAAGATAACTCAGCCATGTTACGGCACTTCCCTGACAAACTAAGCTCCAGTATGTTGTGCACTTAGTACAAGAATTTGTTGTACTACTATCAAAACCACATCAATTCCCAAAACTGTAGAGTCTCCAGGCATCTTTTTGTTAAATTGATCTCAAAAGCATATCATGCATGGAGCTCAATCAAAAGTTTTCAACTCCCAATTCATCTCCTTCAGTGGTTTCAAAGTTTCCAATTCATCCCATTCAGTGGTTTCAAAGTTCCAAACCCCATTGCTCTAAGAGAAAAAAAAAGAACGAACCTCTGAAGGAGAACTACAGGTGGACACTTCTACAGAAGAACTACAGGTGGACACTTCTCATGTACAGATGGCCCCATTTCAAACCAATGAAACCATCAAGATTCAATTGTATAGACCCTGAAAGGAAGCTGGGGAACACTGAGAGTGGTCAGTTTCAAAAGAGACGGGGCTGATCTCAGCAATAAAATTATCTCCCACAGTACTATCTGCTAAACAACCTTTGAATAAGTTCACGACAATCACTCAAGGAGCCACCTAATATGATCGATCCAATGATCTAGGCAGAATGAGCCTGTCATCTGTAAAGTACAACCATTAGCAATTATTATTTCATTAATAATTGCTATAAGGGCTTCTTGGCAAGGGAAGGTCATTCGATCCTTTTCATTTTCTTGTTTCTTTATGATTAGAGAGAAAGCAATATTATACTAATGAGTATAAGATGGGCCAAATTAAAGCCCTCCAAAAGTATAATTATGCACAAGCTATACATCAGACGCCACTGGATCAACAATTATACCACACCAATCATTAGAAAAAATAAAAACTCCAAGAAAATAGGCAATCAAAAGAATACTTTATTCTCATAAGTGATGACCAAAAAGATACTAGCCCCTAAATTTTCTCAAAAACCTTGAAGACCTAACTGAATACACCATAAAGAATAAGCTAATATGCTGTTACAATGTTGCCAAATACTCCAACAGCAAATGCTGCAAGGTTCCACAAAGTTTATCCCCCTCCTATAGTTTTTTTATTGGTATCCCCTCCTATTGAGTTTAACCAAACAAGTCTGAGAAATTAAGCCAAGTTGCTTAGAATGATCCACTGGATTCTGAAAAGATTAAAAAAATGCCACCAAATTTGCAGGAAGCACTAATAGTTTATCATGAGGTGGGAGGCATGACCTGTTATTTGGAATGGAAACACAAGTATAGAATGCCTCTCTGAGTCTATGTCTACCCATAAGATGATCAATGGTGAGGCTTTTATTGACTACATTCATCACATAAAGAATAAGACCTTGGATAGGATATGTAGTCACCATACCCAATTCAAATATATCAACTTCCCAACCACTCAAAGAAAATATCAAGACTTCATGAAACAGACATGTTTTATTGATCTTCACTACAGCCATTAGCATCCACATCCCAAATTCTTCTATCATCTTTCCCCACAGAGGTCTTATTTTTCTTGGACAATTAATCAACCAGCAAGTCCACTTACAGCAGTCATTCACATGGTGTCAAAGAAAAKGACTCAACATCACCTCTTTAACCACCAAGTCAGAGCATTTGATACCAATGCTCTCCGTGCTGTATAAGGGTATAACCGTATAAGACTGAAAGTTAGAGGCTTATCCCCATACCAAGTGTCTTCCTAAAAGGGCTTCAAGTTAAACTAAGATGCTTAATAAGGAGAAAGATGCACAATGAGAGAGCATAGAAGTCATGCTGTATTAAYTATTAGACAATGTTAAACGACCAAGAACTAGGAAGCAAGTAATGGCACAGAGAACCTAAAAATGGCACAAAGGTCCTCATATGCTGTAAAACAAGAAAATCAAATGAATTTCTTCTCAACCATGTGTGAGAAAATAAAAACAGGAAAAGAACACTTTGAATGTATTGAGTTTAAGGGTAAAAGGAAAGGCATCTAAAACAACAAACCTGCTTTGCAAGACTGCAAGCACGATCTGGTGAGTTCAGGATTTCATAATAGAACACCGAAAAGTTGAGTGCAAGCCCAAGCCTTATTGGGTGAGTGGGAGCCAATTCGGCGAGAGCAATGTCCTACATGAAAAGAAATTAGAGAAGAATTTAAGAACTAGGAAAATAGACGGACAAACAAATGTAAAAGGTAGGGGTGACACCCACCTGAGCAGACTTGTAAGCCAACAATGTGCTCTCAGCAGCTTCCTTCCTCTCAGCGCCAGTCTTAAATTCAGCCAAGTACCTGTGGTAATCACCTTTCATCTTAAGGTAGAACACCTTCGATTCTGCTGCTGATGATGAAGGGATGAGGTGTGACTCAAGAAGATGTAGGATGCCATCGCAGATCTTGCTGAGCTCAGATTCAATCTTCCCCCTGTATTCTTTGATAGCTGCCACATGATCTTCATTTCCCCTACTCTCTTCCTTCTGCTCAATGGAGGAGATAATCCGCCAAGAAGCCCTCCTGGCTCCAATGACATTCTTGTAAGCCACAGAGAGAAGGTTCCGTTCCTCAACAGTCAACTCTTCAACATCCACTGTCTTGGCAACATTCTCCATGAACTCCACCATTTCCTCATATCGTTCTGCCTGCTCGGCCAATTTGGCCATGTAGACATTTTCCTCCCGAGATGATTCTGCTGGAGACATCTCTGTTATGTTAAATTAATTCCTGGTTCTGCAAATCAAATACCAATAGCCCCAATATCAAAACAAGATCAGACATTATCACACAGATTAAAAAATGCCCGGAGTTTCCAAAACAGCATTTATCACTCCTCGAGATAACTAGAAAGTTATTCCTTCATTCCAATATTAGCTAAGATCCATAAAAAATGTTAGTTAAGCGTACGACAAAATAATCACAAGTTTTCTCTTTTGAGATGAATCAATGTGATTTAAGGATAATCTCATGGGATTGTAGCAGAAAGCGAGAATGTCTTACATTACATGCACTATAAAAATCAGATTCAGGAGTACGAAATAAGAAAGTAAAATAATCAAAGCAAGGCCATAGCATTTGACATCAGCAACTGTATTAGTCTCATCAGATCTCAAAAGGCACTTAATAGAAATCCTAGGATCATCGCCGACACGGGAATAGAAATCAAAGAAAAACGACTGATAAGATTCATTCATCCATTCATTCACTCGAAAGCAGATAAAAAGAGAAAAATCAATAGAAAAACTGAAGCAAAAATGAGAGATCTAACCCTAATTAGATCGGAAATTGACGAACAAAAGGAGATTAACAGGCTTGAGAGAGCGCGAGCTACCTGAAACCTCTTGAGAATTTGAAGAAGAAAAGAAATAAAATGAACAGGCTTTCTATTCCCCGCTCTTTCTCCTCTCTCTCTCCTCTGTAAAAGAAGACAAACAGAAGAAAAACAACGCAAAGGGGAGGGGCGATGAGGTGCCACGCCCTTAAAATGCTCGCCCACATCCAGTCAATGGCCCAGTTGCAGTCACACACGTGGTCGACCACAGTAGCTTCGGTCGAATCTTCGACTCGAAAACTGCCACGTCCGCACGGCGTCGACGACCATCATACTTAGCTGTCGATCTCCGGTGAGGGCTATTAATTTTCAATGCAATGACTATTATATCCTGGAGTTTGTCTTTTATTAACGAGTAAAAGATAAGGATCGCCACCTGCACGCTGCACGGCACGGGCCTCCGCCTTCCACTAATTTAGGTTATTTTGGTAATTGAAGCCTATTTAATTGCCTACCAAAAGGGTAGCAACCCTGTACTTAGCGTAGTGATACTTAGCCCCCGCCCCCCCCCCCCCCCCAACCAAAAAAAAACTTTGTTTTGCCACCCTGTCGTCAGAATTCCGTCAGTTAACTGCACAAACATTTTTGAAATCCCAAAATACCCTTTATGTTATTTTGTGGGACTATTTTGCCCTTTTAACTTAATTACTCATGTTTTATGATTACCCTTTATGACCCCGCGTTCACATCAGCACTTGCTGCACCCCACAGCACATCCCAATCATGTATTAGTAACATCTTTTGATGATAAATATGGAAAATGTTATCAATAAGGTTTAAAATTGGATCAAACATGGAATTGTTTTGGGTCTGATTATTAGGTCAAACAGTTTGACCGTTTAATTGCTCCAATAAAAATTAAAAAATAAAAAACAAAAAACCATTGTTCAAGTTAATGTTTTGACCACTGGGGGTAAATAATTTATTGATCAAATCAATAATTTTTAATAAAAAGCGGTTTTAGAGTGAAACGGAAATCAATTATTAATTTTTCCACTCTAACTATTCAATCCAGTCCGATTTTAAAAATACTGGTTCTCAATGCGCGCTGAAATGTACATGTTAGCGCGCTGATGTGATCTCTATGATTCTTTCAATGGGTTATAGGTGTTGCAAAAGAAACTTTGAGGGACTAAATGTCATACACCTCTATGTATACGGTGGTTGGCTGTAATTTAACCAAAAAGAAAGCCTGCTTAATTTTTTTACCATAATACCCTTGGTTTCAGAAGGAATTTGCCTTGACGCATGGTCCCATCTTTTTGGTTTCAGCATTTAATGGACTTCTATAATTTCTGTGGAATTTGAAATCCTGCGTGTCAAACTCAATTCTCAACCCAAAAACTACTTGGGAAGAAATGAAAGCAGATCCCGAAGATGGCGCCAGCATTATCTTCCAAGACTTTTTCTGTTTCTTTACCTCTCTCCAGGCATAATATTTTTTTTTAGTATTTAATGCAGGCTAATGTAAGGGGTCGTTTGATAATTTGTGGAGAGTTCTTTTCTTCTATAAAATGGAAAAGATGGGAAAAAAAGGGCTCCTATGTTAAGTGTAACATTCACATTAGTTAAAAATAGCTTCAGATTGGCCAAAAAGGAACTTTTCTTTTTCTGATAGAAGTGCTTTTGTACTTTTTCTTTTGTTTTTGTGAGGTCTTTGTGCTGTTCAACCCCAAAAAAAGGGCTTATCTGGAGACCCTTTGTCCACTAATATCGTTTTGAAAAGAAATAATAATAAAAAACTATAACTGGACCATTTAAATTCTGTTTGTCTCCCAAACAAACAAAAAACCGTTTTTTCTTCAATTCATATTTCCTATTGAGACTAGTTGGAGAGCACATGGCATGCATGTTGCTAATAAAACAAAAACATATTTCATTTACTATCAAGTACCAACCTATTCCTATTTAAAAAATATATTAGTGCAAAACGAAGTTCTTTCTTTGCCCAATATGTTTAAGGGATAACTGTACTTATCCCTATGTTTAATTCCAAATTAAAAAAAAACCTTCAAAATTTGGCAATCAACCTACCTTAAAATTATTTATTTTGAACATCCAAATACAGACATTATGCTTTAAAAAATCTCATCATATAATTTTCTTTTTCCCTGTTGTTGAGTAATAATGCTGGAGATCATAAATGTTCTTTAATTTCCTATATTTAGATTTGCTAAAGCCCAATAAGAAATAAAGTTGTGTTTGGATAGTCTGAATAGATTTCCATTTGAATCTTATTCCCACCTCAACTCCTTAGAATTGAAATGATTACCCCTTGGAGTGGCAATGGAGCATGTTATGGGCAGGGATCACTTTTCCCATCTCCGATCCCGACTTTGAAATAAATCCTCGTCTATGACCTTGGTTTCTGTTGGGGATAAAACTTATCCTTCATTTCCGAATCCCGAAAAAATGAATTCGCCATAGAGACCCGGATCTCCAATTTTTTTTTAATTAACAGTATTTTTTAAAAAACAAATGCATTTAAAATATAAATAATACTTTAAATATATTTTGATATATATATATATATAATATAAATAATATCATATATTTAATATGAATAATATATATATATATATTTATTTATTTATAGTCATAATTGGATCAGGGCAGGGACTTCACTCCCATCCCCAACCCGATGGTTGAAGGGAAAATTACCATCCCTAATTGCCCCACCAAATCTCTTGTATTAACTTATAGGTTGGGGTAAGGCTAAGGGAGAACATTGAGGAAACATGAAAAAGGAGGTTCTTATTGTATTAAAATAAAGAGGGAAAAGAGGAATAAATAAAAGATAAATCCAGCAAGGAAGTTGTTCGTACCAGAAGCTGATACTTATTTGGGTGGAGCCACGGTAGCTAGTCATGTTCCTCATGGTTTAGGTGGCCCTTCTATTCAATTGCAAACAAGATAAGCTTTTGCATATTAAAAGGGATGGATAGTAAAATATGACTAATATTGTAAACGAAAGTCTAAAATAAAAAGTTAGCCTTCTCTTGCATTGAAAAAAAAACCATTACCCAATATTGGTCCCAACTATCTGGGGTCTTGAAAGGGTAGAATGGATGGGATCCTAATTTGGCATTTTTTTGTATTAAGACTGAGTTTGGAAGGAATATAAATGCAAATATGTAGAGTGCAAAACCTTATATTTTGTATGTATTTATGCTGTACATATTTGCATTTATACTGCTTCTAAACTGAACCAAAGTGATCACTCTAAGACTCAAACTTGCGTTCTCACACTTGACAGCCCGATGTTGTACCAATACACCAAGTAACGGCCCCTTCTTACACGAAAGTGAAAGCAAACGGGACTTAAAATAAAAGAAAAAGTGATGGAACAATGCATTTAGATATGACATGTGTATGTGGATTGTGGAGGATCAAAACTTTGGATAGGTTGGACTAACTCCAACCCGTGTCTTACTCAAGGAATTAAATAGTAGGTTCATGAATCATGACTTCAATCAACAAGATAGCAACATAGATACTTCAGCACAATTTGGATTGGGTAGTCATTTTTTAACCTCTAGGAGAAGTTATTTTTCTTTCTTTCTCTTATTTTGTGGGGGCATTGTCTATAGTCATTGTCAAGGCAACTAACCTTTCAATATCGTATTGTTAAGGCAGTGATTGGAGCGTTCATTAGTTTCTTATGTGAGGAACTGAGGATCACTCTCTACTCTCTAGTACTCTCTTCACTTGGTCACTACCCTATTATTTGATGACCCTTTAATTAAGATGATAACTCAGCATCACTCCCAAAACAAAGCTGAATCTGCAGGCACTCTATGGACACCGCGTTGTCCCCATCCTTAACTTCCTACCAACATTGACCAACCCACTAACTTCAGGAAGAACCTGAAAGAAAAAAAGTAAGTCGTAGCCTTTTGGCAATTACAGAGCAGTTTGGCAGAGCCGTGACTTTAGGGATTGTTTGGAAAGTATACAAGGATTATTTGTTGTAGGCTTAATGGCTGAAAAGTCCAACTTCGACCACATGATGGTGCCCAAAGAGATTACTGAGTGGGTATTTCTTTTCTTGGTCCTTGCTTGACATTATTGATGATTGCAACCTTAAACATAAACAGATATCGGTTTAAACACAAAAACGTGGGGTGAGTACGGGGAGTTGGTCTGGTAATAAGCTAACAGAGATGTCTGCAATGAAGTTCTCTTTAAATTTTATTCATGACTCCCCATTTTCAATGAATCCATGGCGCTCTAACTTGTGTGGCAGTGGTTCCCACCGGCATTCCATTATCTTGGTTGCAGGTTACAAGGCATTTATACCTTGAGTTTTTTATTGAGTTCTTTTTATTATTTTAATCCATAGCTTTGGCTTTATCAATTTTAGGTACTCGAGAGGAGTAAAAATAAGAAGATAAAAGGACCGACAGGAGGGCATCAAAAGGCCTTTTAACTATAACATATTGATATTTTAAGGGCAAAGCTATTTTCTTCTGTCTGAAGCCTGCACCAAAGGTTGGTTCCACAGATCCAGGCAGCCCATGCTACCTAGGAGTCTTAGGTCCTCTTTGGGTCAGCCATGGTTAATGCATTGATCAGAAAATGTACACCGGCTCCATCTTGTGAACGAGAGACTATGTTTCTTGAATTTTCTGTTAACTCCTTCCAGCGTAGGGTAGGTCTATTGGGTTCAACTGGCCACGTGGACAGAGAATGAGCCCGGGAACATGTGAACCCAACAAGCATCCATATAAGCTCCCAGTACATGTAAAATGTGGTAAAAACTTCTAAACCACAAAACCAACCTCTTACTAGAACCAGTGACGAGATTCTTGAATCTGGAGACTCATTCCTTTAGAGTATGTTTGGAATCGTGGCCATTTTTTAAAAAACGGTGCCACGTCGGATTCACATAGGCATTTCAACAAACACCCATGTATCTCATTGTTTGATTCAGCCAATTATTAAAAAATCGGACATGCCTTGAAAATTTGGCATTTTATACATCAGTGAACCATTTCCCCCAACGGTTGACTGATGTGTATCCTATGTGATGCTTACTTGTCAGCATATATATGAAAAACTGTGCTGAAAATCACCTTATCAAACAGCATAGTATTGTTCACTGCCTACATGGCAGAAGCGTTTTTTTTTTTTGTGAAAAACCAGTCTTGAAAGCATGAACATTTCAGCGGTGGCACGCGTGATGCTCATAAGAATACTATGATTAGATAGGTATATGAATTATGAGCGATGAATGACTTCTTTTTTTCTTAGAAAGGATTAGAAACAATAGAGACAAGGAAAAGTATATGAGCAATGAGCATCTCCCCTCTAGCCCTCCTTTCTCTAGAAGCAAGAGTTCTTCTTTAACTGAGAATTTTCACATTAGACTCACCAATTGGTCAAGGGTTATTGTTAGAAAGAAAGTCAAGTCAAGATAATTTAAGCATCTAATCTAACTACCAAAAAGTATAAAATGAAATGCAAACTAATCATACAGTAGTGAATGAGTTTTACCTCCAAGGTATTATTATTAATCAATAAGAATTCAACCGACATATTAGCTAGCAATAGACACCAGACAGTCCTTGGTACAAACTTAAATGGGCCAGCTGCATATATATTCCAGATTAGCTGTTGCCTGTTCATATTGGACCCACCTGTAAAATGGTAATTAAGGCAACACATGCAATCCTCCCCATATCACAGAAATGAACCCACTGGAATCCAAATGTTTCTGGGCCTTTTTATTTTTTTTTACCCAAAAGTGAAAGGCAGTAGGTCCCAGCCAACCCAGGTCTGGGCTCTGGAGAGATGTTGACGGGTTGCAACTTGCAAGACCTAACCACCGGCATTTTGACACCCAATGGACGCTCTTAGAGTCTAACCCACATTTTCACACTTGTCGGCCCAAGATTGTAAAATCATCGTACCAAGCCAATGCCACCCCCCCACCCAATTCTCTTTTCATGATTTGGGTGTTTTACAGCCGGGTTTGGCATGCAGTTATAGCATTCAAAAGCTCTACTATTTTGTTTGAACTGTGCAAGAGTGTAAATAGAGTCGCATAAATAAACAAAAGCATCATTAAATTGTCACAAACTCAAAATATTAGAAAACACATGTTTATATAGAACAAATGAGAAGGTTGATCAAGACAGACAAACAGTTTTGGTTAACCTCAACCATTTGGAGATGGGTACGTTGTTAATCCAGATTGTTCCCCCTGTCTGTTCTGGCCTAATTTCCAAAACAATGCTTGGACCATTCAGATTAAGACACAAATTTCAGATATATTTGACATAGGAGATATAACTCCCACTACCAGGTCCTTTGTATTTGCCATTTTACGATTCCTGTTTCTTCCAGCCTACAGATAGAAAGTGTTATGTAATGAACTCAGTGGTAGAACAATACATTTTACTTCAGAAGTGAACTTGCCTTGAATGCGCATGGAATATAAGCTCCAATACAACATTTCAGTATCAACTTCATGAATTTGACTCCATCAACAATTGCAGGTGATAAAGGGACAGTGTTCAAAGCTTGTCAGTGAACATCAAAGTGCATGTGAGAGGTTAAGATCGGCATCCAAAGTAGCAGATTTTTCATGGCCATTTGTTGAGCTGCACAAGTCAACAGAGGAAAATAAATAAACTAGACGTGTAAATGCCATGTAATGGAAACTCGTAAAAATAGGAAAACCAAAAAGACCATCACAAATAAGTTGATAACTTTTGAATGTCAAGGTTTTTAGACAAATAACATTGTTGGTAACTGAGAATAGTGCACTCGAGGATAGGATATGGCCTGGATGTGCACTGCAGAGTAGCCTCATAATAGCATTCCAACAGAATGGGCTCATAGAAAGAGCATTGCAGGATCAGTCAAGAAACAGTAAATTATGTGATACAAAATATATTAACATAGAAAAAAGATGAATGGGAGTAGGAATGGAGTAAATGAACCTAACGACAAATCAAGTGGACAAACCATGCTACTGGAAACATGGGAAACCAGAGCCATGGTTAGAGGGGATAAATCAAGCAGGTTATGTCTTTCTTTAGGGAAATCAGCCACAATAGGAGGGGATTCTCTTGAACCTCAAGTGTGGTGTTTCAGAAGCCACCCAAGGTGGTTTTTAATTAGCATATTGGATCCCATTAATTAGAGAGACTAGACCTTTGGTATGACAGTAAGCATCTCATTCAGATGAATCCCAACAGGGGGGGATCTCCCAAGCTACATCTTTTGAGCCTTTTTTTTATTATGTTTGCCCTTCTTATTGTATTGCATGGCTATTTACCTTATCATGGCCTAAGATTTTCAGTTCCAATGCACACCCTAGATCATGAATTTTATTCAAGTTGATCAGAACTTATCTGAAATTGCATATCTAGATTTGACAATTCAATTTTTGTGGGTTAGATTTGACAACTGGATGCTCTTAAGCATTATCCATAGCTCTCCGATTTATCTGCTTACAACAGCAGAAACAAAAGGCATTAGATAACAGGTAAGGATAAAGAAGCTAAAAATCCAGTAGAAGGCATTCTAATGTACCAAAGAAGCCAGTTGAGGGAAAGATCTGGATAAGGATCTGGAGCCTCATAGAGGTTCTGTAGATATTAAGAAAAGCATTTTCTCCAAACTTTGCTCTCTTTAAGATTGTTCACTTTGTCTTGATAACCCTTAAGTAAAGAATCAAACAAACTTTTCATCTGCAGAAGTTTTCTTAAAACCTTCCAATATCAAGATAATAAATTTTACAGGTTAGACTTCCAAATTCACCACGATAAAATGCTAGTAGATGCCAAGAATGCAAAGCTTCCAAGAATAATATCAATTTCTTGGTGGCTGATGTAAATTCCAACACACATACCAACACTTTACCAAGGCAATGAAGGTAAACTTACATTGTTCAATGCTAAAATTTAAATCCAAATGCTAAAAGCATACCTCGAGTACTCTCTGCAAGTTTCTGCTTGTTTCTCAGGCTGTTTTCCTGATTTTCGGCTACCATAAGTCCTTTCTCATCCAACAAACTTCTTTCGTCAAAAATCTCTAGATACCAAACAAGGACAGTTAAGCACTTCAAGTAGATATTCCTTTTCAATGGGGATAAAATCATGGAACACTGTCATTTTTAGAATACAGTTTTGCATTATGATGCCTATATCAGATCACCTATTGCAATATAGTAAAGAATACAGTGACAAGTTCACAAAAATATGATAAAACATCAAAAACTTTGCCTTATAACAAGTACAAGCACAAACTATGCATGAGATTGACTTTAAATGAGGTCGCTTTTGCTATCACTCCAAGCACATATATGACCATCCCCACCATCTGATAAATGTTGCCAAAACACACTACTTCTGATGTTAAATGGAACATAGAGCTAATATAGAGCCCTCCAATTATCTGTTCAAATCATCTCCACTGAAGTGGATGGAAAGAAAAACATAGACTTTTCAGGTCTCAAAATTATTTGCACTCACTCAGCTGTCATAAGACCAAACTACCTGGTAGTGCTGATGAGAGTACGAATAAGATCAAGCAAAGTATGGAAATTAAATAGTACAAAAAAATGACATTTTCAAGAGTGGGCTTCAGGGAAGATATATTGTTGAAGGCCTTAAAAATTGAATGTGCTCATTAAAAAGGGCATCCAATTGCAGTAGATAATACTTCACTGAAAGTTTAGGTAGGAGCAAAGATGCCAAAATAATTATGTTCACATGGTAGGGAAAATGGGATTCCATCAATAAAAAACAAGGAAACTTCGTAGAACTTCCCAACAATTGCTCTAGTAAATTGTGTTTAAACCTATAAACTTACCACCATCACATCCTTCTCCAACATCATTACTTCCAACTAAAATAAAATGATCAGATAGTTATGTTCGAGTGATTGCCGAGCAGGCCCAAGGTGCCACATGGTGGATTCTATGGTCGTCTTCTTCGGGCCATGTCAGCATCAACCACGTAATGGAAAAGCACGACCAGGAAGGAGTGTCCCACACAGATAAGGAAGCGGACTCCGTCGGGGAAGAGGGAACCCCCCGAAGACCTCAGTGGACAACCTCATCCCGACAACCCCGGAAGCCCAATCCGACTAGAACACGGTTATTCAACTATAAATAGGTATTCCCCGCTCGAGGTAAGGGACTTTTTAGAACCCTCAACTGACTTAGCACCTTTTCACATCATCTCCCCAGCTCGGAACTAGCATTCTTCCAATCTGCTCGTCCCATCCGACCTCATCATCTTGCACTAACTTGAGCATCGGAGTGCTTACCCAGGGAACAACTCCTCGGGCCTCTGACTCTTCCTGTGATTGCAGATCTCGGTGTACGACTTCGTCCTTCCACCTCGGCCTCGCCTACTTGGCAGGATTATGTGATTGCAGCATCAATTCAAAACACCTCAGATTAGATAGCATCATATTGGCGTCATCTGTGGAAAACGTACAAAAAGCCATTTCCCAAACCTCTCTCACCGTACACCAAAAGCGACCATGCCTAAGAACACATCTGACCGCTCTGGAGCCCGTTCCTCGTCTCGAGGATCCCATTCACTCTACAACTCTCCGCCTCGAGAGCCCCAACATCAGACAGTGGTCAACCCTGTGCAATTCCATGCCATTCAGCAGAAGGTCAATCATATCCTCGCCATGATGGAGACGTTGGGGCAATCTGCGCAGGCCCCCAGCCCGACCTTGTGCACACGACGCTCGTAGTAGATCCCATCACTTCGACGTCAAAGTTCTGGCGAGAGAACGGCTCAGCCAACGTTTACAGCAGCCGCCGATCTCAATAGCCGGATCCAGCTCAATCCGAGACCGACACGCAGTCTCGAAAGGAAAGAAGTTTATGAACACAACACCAGCCGACCATGATGCCGAGATCCAAGATCTACGAGAAAGGTTGGCCGAACAGAAATGCAACCAATCATATTGCAGTGTAGCTCCTCCAATGGCTCGACCAGCAGAACCACACCATGATCCACACCTTGCGAAGGAGCCTGTCTTCATGCAGGAGGTCGTGGACGAGCTCCCCCCAACCGAATGGAGGCCACCTCAATTCGAGAAGTACGATGGGACCTCGGACCCCAACGATCACTTCGAGAGGTTCAAGTTAATAATGATGTTGCATGACTCGTCTGAAGGTCTCATGTACAAGGCCTTCATTGCAACCCTACATGGAGTCGTCAAAACCTGGTACACTTCGCTCCCGCCACGATCCATAGCCTCCTAGGAGCAACTGGAGACATAGTTCCTAGCATAGTTCACTACCAGTCAGAGGCACTAGAAGACCTCAGCCAACCTCATGGAAGTACGCCAGAAGAGTGAAGAGACCCTACGGGAGTATTTGGCGAGATTCAGCGTTGAAGTCCTCCAGGTTCGTGCCCTAGACCAGTTGGTGGTCGTTGCCGCCATTATGCACGGCTTGCGCTCGTCAATGTTTAGCTTCTCATTGTAGAAGAATCCTCTGCCCAACTTGACCACGCTCATGAAGCATGCACAAAAATACATGAACGTTGAGGAGGCCTAGGAGTTGCACAAGAGCGAAGAGGACCAGCATGACCGCAAGGGGAAAGACCACGACAAACGAGCAGATCGGGACAACAAAAGAAAAGACCACCGCCCCGACTACAAACCAAGGACTCAGCCCCCGATGTACCATAATTTCACTCCACTAAACGTGTCGCAGACCAAGATACTGATGCATATCCACGACCGCAACTTTGTCAGGTGGCCCGAGAAGATGAAGTTCCAGAGCAACAAGAGGAACAAAGACAAGCACTGCGACTTCCACCGAGATCACAACCACAAGACCGAGAGTTGCCGCGACCTGTGCCATCACCTAGAGGACCTAGTCCAGCGTGGGTACCTTGGCGGGTTTGTCGACATCAAGGAGCACAAGCAAAAAGAAGAACCACGCCACGCCGACGCACCTCTAGCCCAAGCTCCACCCGCCGGGGTCATTGCCGTCATCTCAGGCGGGATGGCCTCCGAAGGGAAAACCAACTTGGCCTACAAGGCCTATGCCGGGTTGCATCAGGTCGAGAACAAGGAACCAAAGTGACCGATGCAGGACACCCCCATCACCTTCACCGGCGACGACCGGTGATGGACTTCATCATCGTCCATGTCCTATCACCCTACAACGCCATCATCGGTCGACCGATGTTGAACGCATTGCGAGCCTTCTCCAATTATAATCAAATCCAAATATATCCGGACGACTAGGAGAAGACTGCCTTCATCACAGACCGAGGACTATCTATAAGGTGATGCCCTTCAATCTGAAGAACGTCAACGCCACTTACTAGAGGCTGGTGAACCACATATTCAAGGAACATCTCGGCCGAAATGTGGAAGCCTACATGGAAGACATGCTGGTGAAGAGCAAGAAAGCGGAGCAACACCTAGCCGACCTAAAGGAGGTCTTCGACATCCTTAGGAAATACCAGATGAAGTTAAACCGGATGAAGTGTGCCTTCAGCGGTTGCTCCAGCAAGTTTCTAGGTTTCATGGTCACGTAGAGGGGAATTGAAGCAAACCCGGAGAACATTCAGGCCATCCTGGACGTGCAGTCCACGCAGACGTACAAAGAAGTGCAACGCTACACTGGACGGATTGTCGCATTGAGCATATTCATGTCGAAGTCCATGGACCATTGTCTGCCCTTCTTCAAGGCCCTGAAAAAGGTGAAAGACTTCCAATGGACCGAGGGGTGGGAACGGTCCTTCCAGGAGTTGAAGCGCTACCTGAGCTCGTCACCTCTACTCACGAAGCCGAACCCAGGAGACCAGTTCCTGCTCTACCTATCTGCCAGCGACGAAGTGGTTAGTTCGGTTTTAGTAAAGGAGCAAGGCCAAACCCAAAGGCCGATCTACTACACCAGCAAGGTCCTCACAAGCGCCGAGACGCGGTATGCAAACCTCGAAAAGGTCACCCTGGCCCTCGTCACTTCGACGAGGAAGCTCAGGCCGTATCTCAAGGCACATAGCATCTGAGTGCCCACTGACCAGCCACTTAAATAGGTGTTGCACAGGCCAGAGACACCAAGCGCTTGATCAAGTGGACCGTGGAGATAAGCGAATTTGACATCGACTACGCACCTCAGCCCGCCATCAAAGCTCAGGCCCAAGCCAACTTCTTGGCCGAGTGCACATTCTCAGCTTAGAACCCGGCCAAGGTCCCACTATTCTAGACCTTCCATGTGGACGAATCATCCAATCGACAATGAAGCAACGCCAACTTCATCCTCCTCAGCCAGACGACACCATCCTCGAGCATGCCCTGAGGTTCGAGTTCAAGGCATCGAAACAACGAAATGGAATACTAGGCCCTAATAACTAGGCTTTAGCTCGCACTAGACGTCAGAGTAAGGCACGCTGAGGCCTTTAGCAACTCCTAACTAGTGGTCAACCAAGTCACTGGTCAGTTTGAGGCATGAGAGCCCACCATGGAAACTTATTTGCAGAAAGTGCAAGAGCTCACCGGACAGCTGGAGCACTTCGCCATACAGCAAATCCCTGGAGTCGAGAACGCTCAAGTCGGTGCCTTGTCAAAGCTTGCCAACTTGTCGCGTACCAACCTCAACACCATGGTCATGATGGACACCTTGGTGCAACCCAACATCTTGGAAGCAACTCTAGCGGTCCTCCCCGCCCCAGCAAGAATCGTCGTGGATGGACCCGATCATACAATACATCTAGAACAACACCCTTCCTGAGGACCAAATCGAAGCGAAAAGGCTCACGCATAAGTCGGCCCAGTACTGCCTCATCTAGGGCCAACTCTACCGTTGGTCACATACTCTCCCATACCTGAGGTGTCTCCTCCCAACCGAAGCCGACTGCATCCTCAAGGAGATACACGAGGGTATCTGAGGAGACAACCCGACGCACGAAAATTGGCATACAAGGCACTCTGGCAGGGCTACTTCTGGCCCACCATGAAATAAGATCCAACTCAGCTTGTTCGAAGGTGCAACCACTATCAAAGGCACTCGAACTTGCACCATCAGCTAGCAACACTCCTCACGCCTATCTTGAGTTCGTGGCCCTTCGCCTAGTGGGGGATGGATATCCTCAGAGCATTCCCCACCGCATTCAGACAAATGAAGTACCTCATCGTCGTAGTAAGCTATTTCACAAGGTGGGTTGAGGCCGAACCCCTGGCGAACTCTAACGGTCGAGGACCTTAGAACACAACACCACACACACAAACCCCACTAGACCCAAATGGCAGGGCACATTGGGACCACACAACGAACAACAACTGGCCCTACTCGGCAGTTGGTCAAGCCGTACTACTCGCGGGGTTCACCACCTCGGGGGTCACAACGCTGTCATTCAGGGCAGGCTGCTCAATTGGCAGCGCCTCGGCATCAAAAGGACCGTATTGCTCCACGGCCGTGGCTATCTCAGGATGCTCACACATGTCCCTCCTCTGGCATCAAGCAAAACCGGTCTACCAGGAGTCCGTAGCATAATTGTCAAGGGCAACCTAGAACTCCTCGAACTCCATATACTTGGTGGTCGCCTCCTCCTCAGCACATAGAAGCTTCGCCTCCACCTTCTCAAACGCCTTTTGTGCCTTGTCACGACCCTCCTTGAGCTCACGCACGCCGCTCTTCGACCACCGTAGCTCATTGTCCTTGGCTTCCATTGCCTGTTTCAGCTCGGCCATCTCCAATTGACGAAGGCGCACATCCTGTCGACCAACATCATCACCATGAAGACAGCCTACAAAATGTGAAGTCAATAAGCACGACAAAGCAAACTAGAGAATAGAAAGGGCAGTGCAGTTGCCTTACCGCAATAGACTCTCGAATGGCCGTGCTCTCCAGCACCCCGCTCGTTCTGTCACAGTTTCCCTACGGATCCTGGGCAACAAAGTGCCCCTAGCCAATTGCTCGGGCACGCCTTTAGTTTCTAGGGTGTCCTCTGGCCAGACACTCCAGCTCAGCTTGTACACTTTGGCCCCCTCTTCCGCAAAACCTAAAGAGGGCAGGACCTCAAGACCTCCTTGGGCCATGGGCCACAGTCGAACATGCTGCGGCGAAGACCCGTTAGAGCCAACATCAACCATGTCACCCTCCACAGGTCTCAACCTCTTATGTGGTTGAGGAATCATAACTTCGGAGCGGCACTGCTGTTGAGCCACCCCTGTTTGGGTCGCCGCCCTCCTCTGAGCAGCAGCCTGCATGCGCCTCATCTTCCTTGTCAACGACCACCATATTTGCCAAAGAAAGAACGACAATCAATCAAAGCCGAAGAAAGGAAGCATAAAAAACACACAAAGCAAGGACAAACCAACCGGGGGCTTCATCAGCCCAGCATGGATCAACATCGCAGATGAGGTGTATTCTTGTACATCTACCCTCACTATCCACCTAATGGCCGCCAGCTCCTCCCTAGACAACTTGGCCTCGATCACTAAGGAGGGGGCTCCCACAAGCACCTTATTGTTCTACCAAGGCGAGAAATAATAGTAGCCCTGCTAATGCTTCTTCAGGTGTAGAAAGTACGTGGCCGCCCTCTTCGGGCTATGTTAGCATTAACCGTGTAATAGAAGAGCATGACCAGGAAGGAGTGTCCCACATGAACAAGGAAGCAGACTCCACTGGGGAAGAGGGAACCCCCCGAAGACCTCGACAGACAACCCCGGAGGCCCTATCCGACTAGAACATGGATATTCAACTATAAATAGGTATTTCCCGCTCGAGGTAAGGGACTTTTTAAAACCCTCAACTGACTTAACACCTTTTCACATCATATCCCCGGCTCGGAACTAGCATTCTTCCAATCCGCTCATCCCGGCCAACCTCATCATCTTGCACTAAATTGAATGTCGGAGTGCTTACTCGGGAGCAACTCCTCAGCTTCTGACTCTTCCAGTGATTGCAAATCTCGATGTACAGCTTCATACTTCCACCTCAGCCTCGTCCAGTTGACAAGATTATCCGATTGAGGCCTCGATTCGAAACACAGATCAGACAGCACCAAGTATTCAAGATACTCCATGGCTTATCTCTAATGGTAAATAGGTTTTAATTCACCGGCTTCCGTCCAAACAGCCCTAAAAAGTAAATAGTTTTTTCCTTCACTAGATTCCGTCCATCATTGCTTCCAACTTATGGAGCTCCACTGAACATACTATCTCAGTGAAATCATTCTACACAAGGATCAATGAAAGCATCCTAATAGTACTAACCATGTTTAACTGTATTTAGTTGTATCCAAATTCGATCAACTTATGCTTTTTCCTTCCAAGGTAGACAACAAATCTGCAGTTTTTCTGAATCTTAAACAATCAAAGATTTGCTAGAAATTAAAGAGCGACGGAACCAGGCATGAAAGAATATAAGAAACAATAAATTATAAAGAAAATGCGGAATGGCGTTACCTCTCTAAAAATTCGAGACGACTGTGATAGGAGAAGGGGGGGGGAGCTCCCTTTCTTCCTGTTGGATCCTCCATGGATGAACATTTATTAGCAATGATTCTCCTCCGTCTGTTCTCGAGCTATTCAACCGCAATATATTGGTTTATAGAGTTTCACTTAACACTTCACAGTTCAAAGCTGTTCGTTTTGGCCGGAACGTTGTCCACGGTTGGTGGACAGTGGACAGTGGACACAAGAGAAGGTGTGGGACCCACACTAATTGCCTTTTAATTTTACACGAACGGTGGATTTGAGATAGAAAACTTGGTCCCACAACCTGAGCACCGTTCGCACAGATTAAGAGGAATCATTTGGTTGCGGGTGTTATATTGTTTCGCTTCGATTTAAACCGGGATAGTCGTGAGCCGATGAGAAAAGATTGGCAAGTTCGATTTTCTTTTCTTTTTTGGTGCCAGCTTCCTCGTGGATCCAAACAGCCCCGACTGTAAACCATGGCGTTTATATATTAATACTTGATAGCGAGAAAGGTGAAGTGGGTTTTGGGTTGTCACTTGTCGATGGGATACGTCCAGGAAGCCAGAGAAAATCATGTCAAGAAGAAGGTAGAAGAAGGCAAGCTCCATTTTTCTCTTTGTTTTCTTTGGTATCTTCCCTCGAAATCACCTTCTTTTAATCCTGTACATGCGTTTCAGAGGTAAACGCTAAGACTAGTTCCTTCCATAGCACAATTGATACCACACGGTAGGAGCAGAGCAAGAGTCGATGGTCATTACTTCATTTTTGTTTCTTATTTATGAGCATTTGGTTGTAATGTATTCTTTTTAGCACAAAATTTTATGATTATCTGATGTTCTAATAAACAGAGTGCTAAAGATTGCACCTTGATACAAAGTATAAGGATATGCCTTTGCCACTGCATTCAGCTGAAGATTAGAAAAAATAATTAAGACTAGAGAGGATGAGAAAAGTGAGAAAAGAAAATAGTACTGGTAGTCATTGGCTCATTGCTCTGCTGAATTATATGCTTCAATGTGATTTCCCCTGTGTGATGTGATGTCTAGCACAGATTATTTACAAGGAGGTTTGGACGAGTCTAATATAAATGATTTAATAGAACTGCTCTATGTTAGTGGTTCAGAACATCAAATGGTATCCATTTTTAGTGAGCTATGACTCCAAAATCATGACAATTGCTTAATCTTGATATCCAATTGATGAACTTACTTTGAAGTATATTGGTATTAATTTGGTGGTGACTTGAAATCAAGAAATTTATTCTGAATTCACAATCTTTTTAGTCACTCTGATCTTTAGCTATAGCTGTCCAAGAGTGGCCTACCAACAAAACGGATCAACGAAACCAAACCTCATTATCTGTAAAAACGCCTATTTGAGTGGTTATCTAGTCAAACATGCAGTAACTTATACTATTCTGGATTTCTAAGATATAAACTTTTGACTACTTTAAAACGTTTATCAAAGTTAAAAATGTCTTAGACATGGTTTGCAACATGCAACCTTTTTTGGATCAGTAACAACAATGAAAAAGAGTTTATTGATGATGAGTAAAAGAGAAAATCTCCATCATCCAATTAAACAAAATAAAACGAGAGGCACAAACGAGAGGCACCCCAAAACAACTCCGCCCTCCCAACCTCTCTCCAGCCAAGACGTCCACAAGAACAACGATTCAAGTATTTTAGTGGTTTGACAACATGCAACATTGTACGTTTTCTCAAAATAGCACATAATTTTTAGATACATTTTCATTAGACATGTGGATATTTCACCTTTATTTCATAAAATAACTGAATACTTAGAAGCTTTTTGGGGAAATGGATGACATTTGTAAAAACGAGTATTATCTTTAGTTTCAGGATATGTTAACTACACAATGATTCTAGATTCAAGATGTACAACAAACAAGAGAATATCAAAAGAGATCAGCTTCCATCAGGGCAAACCTGTGCCCACACTATTCTAACAGCCTTTTCCAACCTTGCATTGGGAATATCTGTCCATAAAATAAAGCACATAAGTACGGAGATAATCTCAATATAAGGCAGTAAAGGCTGCTTGAATGGGCTTTGTCCTGACTGAAGCCGAACTCATATCAAAATACTAAATTAAGCACCATCATGCTGGATACAAATCAGTACCATTTATATTTCATTATATTCAATCACAGAATGTTTGTATACAGATTTTTTTTATGAGTAATATTTGTATACAGATATGGTAACCTACAATAATACAACCAACAAGTCCAAACAGAAATTTTGCTTCACTTCGTCATATGGAAAATTTGCACTTCCTATTTCACTTTTAACCATCAGTGTAAACAGTATATGTGAGTTCTCAAAACCAAAATTGGAAAAGAAAATAGCTAAACAAATAGATGATTGTGATTCTGGGCCAAAGACATTTTAACAGGAGCAACATATCTCCTAAGTAGAGCAGTAGGGGTTGTGGATTAGTAAACGGTGTCTCATTTTTAGATTTCTAATGATGCGTTAATGGTGTCTCATTTTTTCATCAGGGTTCCTTTACTTGTAAAAAAATTCTGGGTACAAGTGTTAATTTGTTACTTGGCATTTACTCTTTTTGTCAATGATTCATTTCTTTTGATATCTTTTATCCATGCATTATTTGATGAGTTCTTATTAATTGAACTTTCCAGCTTTACGTAGCAAAATGAAGCAGAAGGCACTTAAAGAATGTGATTATTACACTTCAAAGTATGCTGAATGTGCATCAGGAAGAACGATATCAATAATATGGCAGTGTCGGAAACAGGCAAAAGAGTTAAATGAGTGTCTCCATCAGTAGTAAGCTCAGTTACTAACATGCCACAAGTTGCTTCCATTTGATGGACTTGAATTCCCTTTTCAATGTAATATTGTAATCATTATTTGTTCTGGCATATGTTGGTATTGATTGTGAACCAAGTATTAATCCTTTTTCAACTAGAGGCCATTGAAACCACTATTTTAAAAAGCATGTGAAGTGTGTGACTGGAGGTGCACCTCCAAGCGAGGCACTCAAAAAAAAAAAAACACCTTGAGGCGTATGCTGGAGGTGTGTATGCATCAAACACCTTTTGCATGAAGTGTACACCTTTTGTATGCCTCATCCACAACTCAAGAAAGAAAAAAAAAGGAGAAAAACAACAACAAGAAAGAAAACTACTCCTCTACTCCTCTGAAGGAGGCCTATGCCTCCTTGTGCTCAGGAGGCTTACACCTCTTGCATTTGGAACCATGCCTCACACCTCCAGGTAGTGGCATACCTTGTATCACACCACTGCATTTTAAAGCATTGACTGAAACTATCAATTTTTCCAGTATATGAAGTGTCCATTGGTTCAAGGGATTCAGCAACAACCAAACTTCTCTCATTTTCACACTTAAAACAGCATTATAAAACTTGAAACTGTTATCATCCAATTGTACCATCTTCATCATGATTTTTCTAATGATCACAAGTGTAACTTATTATTTACTCTTCACTCTGCTATGATTGTCCGTTATTAGGATGATCAACCCTATAAGTGTGCCCTTTTACTTGGGACACCGACATTCAATAGGATTTGGGACATTTCACATACTTATTTCGTTAGGAGGCCATGAATAAGTCACTTATTCCTATTTATGATTTTGGACTAGTAAAATTTCTGCATTCACACACTACAGAGTCACAGACACAACATTTTGAAATGGTTCTGATCAACACTAGTTACTGTGAAAACAAGAACAGTAATGTTGATTAGGTCTTTCAAAAAGTCCAAAGAAGCTTTGATGATATGAGTTTTCTTTTTTCTTTTATTTTTGGCATTTCAAGGAGAGGGAGCTACACGATTCTGGGAGTAATAGCTCATCCCCAAAAATCATTAAATACTATTTTTCTTAATATTTACCAATCTGATCATCAAGTCAATGTCTTCTTGTGTCTAAAAGGTCCACTCATTCATGTCCTTCACTATGAATTATGAGATGGCTATTTTAATTCCATTCTCCCTAGCAATAATCTGTGTGTCAATAGTTAATGCCCTAATGCACTAAGGAATTTGGTGAAGTCTTATATGCTATTGTCTCCTTCAAGAAAAAAAAAAAAAAAAATCTATCCATCTTTTCATGTCACTTTCTGGTCGTTTAACTATCAAAGACTGCCCCCCTGAAGTGACTCTGGGATCACTTACAAGATCAAAAGAAATTGTATTTCTGAAAAATAAAGAGGAGGATAAATTAATAAATAAAAGTGGAAGAGGGAACATGGATCCATGATTGAGATTGACTACATGGACCTTTGCCTGTTCCATGTATGTTCTATCATGTGTTTTCTTGATAGTTTTCTTTTGATTTGTATTTGTTTTGTATGATATTCATAATTTGTTCTGTTGCTGTGGATATTGCCCATTATCTTTCTGCGCACTTTATTTCAATCAATGATCTCAGGGGCTTTTGTTGCTGTGGATATTGTCCATTAACTGTAGACTGTAGTTTTTTATGTTTGTCTGCCAACAAAGCATTTTAATAGAAAAAGATGTCATTTGAGAAAACCAAAATGCAGGAGTAGCCCTAAACCCATTATAAAAATACTTGGGAATAAATCTAAATGATACAAGAATATGGGTGATTTTGATCATGCATTTTCTCATTTTTCTTGGCAGCACCAATGACTCTGTACTGGAACAAATGAAGAAAGAGTACATGCTTCAACAGGAAGGCAAGGGATCTTCTGAAGTTGAGCACATTTTCTAGCATCAAAGGAACTAAATAAGAGTTTTTCTAAAAAGTGCAAATGTTGAGGACATTTTTATGTACAGTTGAATGAAGACAGAATGTCTACAATCACATTTTGGTTTTTTGGCCCCCTTAATGCTTCTATTCATATTCCTCTGCTCACATGCTTTTTAACAGGTATTATATTCTTTTTCTGTGTTGATGTCAAAACCATGGGACAAAGAGTAAACATATCTCTTATTTGGATTTTGAAGAAAAATTTGAACCTCCCGTTTGCTCCTGATGGGGAAATGTTCCTTTTCAGTGTGGATATCAAAACCAGCCACCATCCATATTATTATGAAAAGGTTTAAGATTCTATGAAACATGGACCCATGGCCGAGTTATCCACGGTGAAAACAGAGAAGCATTCCCTCTTTTTTAAGAGGAACTAAAGTTGTTTCAGAAAATTTTGCACAGAAAATTGAGTTCATATCTGCTGCGACATTGCAGCACTGCCTTGAAACCCCAAATGAAACACGCAGGCGATGGAAATCAATTCAAGACATCATGAACTGTATTTTTATCTCCATCACTGGTGTATCCTTGTTTCGTTGGGAGTTAGCAAGGGAGTGTGGCGGCAGATGTACCCCTCAAACTGAGATACTAGAACGACTTTCGGCGGATTCACCAATCACCATCAGCAGGTGGTCATGGTAAATAGAGAAGTGCGTGCCTGGCTTCAGGCTATCATGAAAGGGTTTTTTTTGTCAATATATCCAAGGTTCAAAGTATGGATCCGTATCAGCCAATATATATTATTCTGAGACCCCTCCAATATGCTCCTATAGTGAGTGTATTGGGGTTCTAACCGGTTCAGAGGGTGGAGGAGACCTAAAGCAGCCCCCTGAACCAGTTTCGAAAAAAATAAAAAAATAAAAAAAGGTATCGATTCGCTAACACGCCAGGGGTACTTCTGTCAATGAAAAGGGTTCAGCAGCTTACTTTTAGCTGTTGTCTCGTTTCCCGGTATTTCACGAAGCATCAGGAGCACCATGAAAGTACACTAACACAAGTCAATAAATAAACTCCTGGACGAAAAAAGACAGTAGCAGAGCTTTCTGTCTATAATCAAATACGATTAACATATAAACAAACAACACCATTGACCACAATATTACAGTGCAACCTAATGATGCCACACAGTTTTGTGACAGAGAACCTTCGACTGTTTCTATAAAGCCTCCATCCCACAGATGATTCTTGGAAGTCATAAGTTGTGCAAGACCACAAGATTACAATTTACTACCAACTTGCCAAGGATCTCCCACAAAAAGTTCCGAAGTATGAAACAAACAGGTTAATTAACGAGCAGATAGCACCAGGCCCATATTCACTTTACATCATCTTCAAGAGGAAGGCCTAAGACAATCCTGTACTACCAGCCGACCATTAAACCCAGCAAAATTTTATAACCACGACACCCCTGTCCTGAAGTAGCCCAGAAATAATTAAAGAAGAAATTTATCTGCCAAGCCAAAACTGTTTGCGACGAACTCATATAAGAGCTAATTTGGTTTTCGCATGTTTCGACCAGCACGAATTACTTCATCCACCAGTAGCAATTGGGAAGCAATAACAGGTCTGTACAACAAAGAATCACAAACAGAAAGGCCATTACCCAATGCTGGCAGAAGTGTATAAGAAAAAACAATTATTGCTGAAAATACGTGGAAATGGAATGGAGTTTCAAATTCAAGTTCTAGCTTTACATACGCTGAGTTAATGATTTGGCGCTTGACAGAGTAATTGTCAAATATACCCTCCATTTGGGGGTCAATAGGCTCTCCTGTGTGATGGTTCAATCCCACAATGTTCCCTTTGTCATGCTCTCCCTAAAGACAAAAAAAAAATACGTGTTAATTCAGGTCATAGCTCCGATGACTCTAATCTTCACTCCTCTCCTAAGAAAGCAATTTAGGACAAAAGTACCGTAAGTGCAATGATAACATCTTGAGTATCAAGGCCAGAATTCTCAGCTAATGTCTTGGGAACCACAAGAAGGGCATCAGCAAATGCCTCAACACCAAGTTGTGCACGCTGTTCAAATTTGACAAATTCCAGTAATGTTAAGTAAGAGTACAAGACTAGAAACATTTCTTTTTTCTGGTAATGGGATTTGAATGAGAAAGGTTAATGTTACCCCTTGAACAGTTCTTTTAACTTCATTGATTAGATACTGTCTGGTTGCCACCTCAAAGGCTCCTGCACCCTAAACCACAAACCAAGTAAAAACAAAATCCACAAAAGAATACAATTCAACTCAATTAAGCCTTCATCCCAACTATTTTGGGTTGGCTATAAGAATCATGTTCCACCAATGGCTCTATCAAGAACCATGTCACAAAAGAATATAACTTAAGTATATTAGAAACAACTAATAAGGAAACGTGAGACATATCCTTGTTAGAAAAGTTCAAAATATTGATACACTCCATACGCAAAAATTGTGTATTGGGCATTCCAAATGAACAATGTACTTAGATCAAAAATTAATTAGGGTTCAAGAATTGAATCAGAACATCTCCAGGAGGGGTATTAACCTCAAAGTGGACAGATGTCCTAATTCCCTGTATTTAGCATTTCGGTAAGCCAAAGATATGATACAATGCACTCGATACAGGCCTAAGGTATCAATGATACTTTGCACCTTGCTTGTTAGTTGCCATGCATGAAAAGACCACTTCAAAAAAAAAAATTTGCAAAGCTGTAATTAAACACATGATACATGGATATGCATAAAAGCATAAATAATGAGCAATGAAGGAACCGGTTGTATTTAAAAAAAAAAACTTCTCACATTCAAGGTTTCAAGCCCTAACCCTTTCTTCTCATGTCACAGCTCTGTGTGACAGACTGACAGAAAGGCCCGGGTACATGGTGCATTGAGAAGTGAGAACATGAACCATAGAGAGAAAACATTAAGCTCTTCTCAAAACAATAAAATCTCGAGTCTTCTTATCAAATCTCCTATCTACTTTTCTTTTGAAGCTCCAACGTTTTTGTTGATGGATAATAAAGAATATATCAAGTGCTAGTGCAGTCCTCTCCATCCATCATCACTATTTATATTAAAATCTGTCAAAACTCCAACTTTATTAACAATGAAAATAGTAACGAGCTCAAATCTCCAAAACCTAGCATCAAATCACAAGTCATCTTATTGGTATTTTTCCCCTAAAAGAATAAAAGTAAAAGGATTTGTTTTGAGACCTCAAGGCTTGTAATTTCTGTTCCACATTGAAGAAACAGTAAGATCACCATTCTTCTCTTTTCTATCCAATTACATTGATTTTGTTGCAACTTCTATGGTAGCCATGATTGTTTAATTAGAAATGCAAACCTTGCTTTTTTCTTATTGCATGAAACCAAACCAATAGGACACGTTTCTGTACTTTTTTTTTATTTCTTAGGTGCTTTTACTTTCATTATTCCATGTTTTGACTTATTTTATTTTTGGTTTGATCTGTAAACTGCTTACTGTGATTGTAGGCATGTAGGGTTGGTTTAGTGATAATCTATAGTGTTTTCATGATTATCAAGGCACTATCTTTTGAAACAGTAGTAAAACCTGCAGCCCTTGCTACTGTTTCAAAAGATAGTCCCTTGCTACAGGATGACTGGAGCAAGGTTCAAAGTATCAATACGTATCAGCCAATACATATCGTATCAGTGGGTCACCAATACACAAAATAAGGGGAGTTTCGGGGTAAGACCTGTTTCAAGGGGTAGTCAGGCCTTTAACCGAGCCCCCTGAATAAGTTTGGATGTAGATCTTTCTTCTTTCTTTCTTTTTTTTTTTTTGATAAATGTTGTATATCTTTTTTCAGTTAATACAAGTTATACTTTACTCTTTTCAGAAAAAAAAATAACAGCATGTTTATACAAAATCCGATACACCCAATTTGGCGTATTGGGCCATATCGATGCTTTGAACATTGGACTAGAGTTAATATATGGTGAGAAATGAGATCATACATTGGAGGAGAGCTAAAGAGAGCCAAAGCTAAGAAGTAAAAAAGGAGTGGTAGGGTCTATGGAGTAAAGGCATAGTATATCTGCAAGAGCAACATCATCGACATCATTATCATCAGTTGGTCAAAAGGTGAAATTGAATTTTGGTGGAAGTTCAACAGGTAACCCTGGTCCTTCTGGAATTGAGGGAGCTTTTAGAGACGGTGAAGGTAGACTGATTGCTTAATACTCAGGACCTCTAGGGGTGGGGGACACCTTAAAAGCCGAAGTGATGGCCCTACTTCAAGGAGATTCTAAGCTGGCCACAGACTGGATGCAGAACAATTGCTTGGAGGTCTGGACACTAAGACGATCTGTAAAGGAAATCAATTATTTAGCAAGGGAGATTGGAGTTTCTTTTAGATGGGGTCACAACACCTATTTCTGGGTGATTGACAGCAATGTCTTAAAACGCAGAGGTGTGACACGAGGCGTTCCACTACCTAGAGGCGTGAGGCGTAGTTCAGAACATAAGAGGCGTAAGCCTCCTTAAGAGGAGGGGGGTCAGGAGGAAGAAGAAGAGTAAGGGGGATCTCATTTTTTTCTTTATTTTTAATAAAAAAATTATATTAAGAAGAATAAAGATGCATAGCACTAGTTGAAGGGGGGGAGGGGTCTTGTCAAAGTGGAGGCAAGCAAGCGAGTTGGAGCGGAGCCCCCCCCCCCAGCCGAAAGGGCTGGGGGTAGACCACTTTCTTTCCCCTTATCTATTCTTCCCTTCCCTTTCTTTTTCTCTTTTCTTCTTTCTTTTTTTCCCTTCCCTTTCATTTCCTTGCCTTTGCTTTCCTTTTTTTCTTTTTTTTTTCAGTCTTTTTATATGAGGTGCATGAAGCACATGAGGCGTACACCTCTAGCACACCTCATGAAAAAAGCACATGAGGTGTACACCTCTTGCACCTGAGGCATACGCCTCAGAGGTGTTAGCACCTCTGGCAATAGGCCTCGGGGCGTTTTGGGAGCGCCTCACCTGGAGGCGCGCCTCCAGGCGTATGCCTCCCATGCCTTCTAAAATACTGATTGACAGTTGTATATCTTGAGTTCAGTAATGAAAGTTACCGCTTCCAATCAAAAAAAAAAAAAAAAAGAAACCATCATCATCATCATCCATGCCTTATCCCAACTATATGGGGTTGGCTACATGAATCTTGTTTCGCCAGTCTGTTTTTTTTTATAATTGTTTCACCAATCCATTTTATCAAGTCATTGTTATTTTTGTTTTATTTTTTGTACTTACTGTGGTTATTGCCCTTTCATAAACTGTGTTTTATCTTTGAAAAATAAATAAATTGTGTATTATTATATGCAATTAAGTGTTTTGACTTGGTTTGTATATTTGACTGGTTGGAACAATATGTAGCAAATATCATTTTTAAACATTCTCAAGGCCTTAGGTGGGAAAATATCATAGGTAATGTTAAATTGCATGAAAATGGGCAAAAGGATAAATGTCAGAGTTGACAGCATTTGGATTTACCAAATAGATACATTTCAGAGGGATGATATTGTAAGATAGTTTTTGGATGATTCAAAATTCTGGTAACTAGATAGATCCATTGCATTCAAATCTTCTGAAAAGCAGAAAAGCAAATTCTCACTGTTCAGATGTTGAGCACTAAAAAATTCAGAGCTTTTCTGTTTTCATCAGATCTGAGTTCGGATATATCAAATGTGCTCCAAGTCAAATTGCAAATGAAAGCTTTACAGAAGGCTGACAAATGAGAGCTCACCAATATAACTGCTTCATCCTCAATTGTATTCTTAACTGCTCTCAGACCATCACGAACAGCATCCTTAATTTGAGCAATTGTATGGTCATTAGGTCCTGGAAACATTAAATAAGGGATAAGAATGACAACATTACTTATCTTTCACAAAAAAAAATGAGAACATTACTTAATTTAATATCAAGAACAAATTCTATATACCATAAAATGCTAAACAAAATTTTGAAATTTTTTTACCAGTGGAAAATCAGAAATTTTATTAATTACAAAGTAAGTATAGGGAAGGCAGTGTGAAGACGGTCTGAGTCTGGACACAGCAAGTAGGATGCAAAGGTCAAACAGAATCGAGGATCCTCTGAAAAGTCCCTTTATGTGTCAGGAGTCCGACTATTTATAGGCAAAAGTGGGGCTGCTTTTGAGCATGCGCACAAATCAAGAATTCTAGAATATTCTTCGGGCAGTTTTGGGTTTGAATCCTAGGGTCGTTGAGATGGTGACATGTGTCGGGCTGCGATGCATGGAATTCACTCTGATTCCTATGTTCGCATGCGCCTACTATGTGTTGTTTTAGGGGGGAGGGGTGGATTCAAGCCGAGCCGAGCCGAATACTTGGCTATTCAAGCTCGGCTCGCCAGAAAGCCATAAGGCTCGAGCTTGGTTCAAGCTAGAGAGTTGAGCTCGAGTTCTGCTCGACTCAAAAGCTCGTAAGCTTGAGTTCGATTGTGAGCCAAGCTTCCTATAAAATTAAAAATTATAAATATAAAATATTATTTTTTTATTTTACACAAAATTAAGAATTATAAAAACTAGTTATTATTATACATATAAAAACTAAAATATTATATATATACATATTATTTTTGTTTTTATATATAAATATATTTATGTATATATCATTTTTTATATGTATAATATTTTTATTTTATATATATAGGCTCGCTAGTCTTGCGAGCCGAGCTATAAATAGCTCGTGATAGGCTCGACTCGTTTCCACCCCTAGGGGGGAGATATACTCTGATTATACTTAATTACTTTTTCAGTTGCTGATTCCCTAGTTTCACCTTTGACTTTGGGTCTTCGCGGATGACGTTACATTAGATTACATCCGTGGCGGCCTTTCTAGGTAGGCTTTGCTGTTTCAGGGTCTGCAGAGCTTATGGTTCTTGCTGCTATTGCCAGTCCGTGGCATTACTTTGTTGTTATATTAGTCTATCCCCTTACAGAAAAAATGATTTGCAAATTTTACATTGTGCCAAGACCCCCCCCCCCAATAGGCTGGCCCCAGCTTCCTACCCCTCATAGCATCTTTTACAATCAAATCTTCTTGTTGAACAATCTCCTGATACAACTGACTTCTAATAACCCCTTGTCTTGCTAATGCATCAATTAACCCATTGGCTAGCTTTTGAGAATTCTCTTTTTTTTTATAATTAGCTTTTGAGAATTCTCTTATTGACATATATTTCAATAGCTACAGTTTTTCCCTTTAAAATTAAAAAGTTCAGAGTAATAAGTATTACCACATTGTCAGACCAATCCTATGGCCAGATGTCAAGATATAAGCCTCCAACCAGACCCTAATATCTGAAATCATACTTGAATAAGAAACCACTCTATCCACATTTTTTTTAACTTTTCTTATTGGATTTAGGATGAACTTTCTGAGCAACTTCATTGAACTTTCGCCTACCACCTCCAAATATACTGACCTTGCCTCAACAGTTCAAAATGCACTTGACCAAGAAACTAATCAAGCCACCCCTTCTTTTCTTTGATTTGGGATGAACTTTCTGAAACACAATTGCATCACCCCTCTTTTCTACAATCTGGAGGTATTTCTTGAAAATTATGAATTTCTGTTGGTGCTTTCCTCAAACAGTGAAAGAAACAACAAAGGAATGGAACATTAAAGGGCTCAAGAGGAGGGGGATAGTCGGGAAAAGTACACCTATTGCGACAATATGAGTGATATGGAAGGAGGCAAACAATAGTACCTTTGAAAACAAAAGCTCCCAAGTAGAAGTTACAAGGAGGGTAGAGGCATGCCTGATTTCATGGATGTCAATCAAAAAAGAGTTCAGGAATGTTCCTTACTCATCTATTGTAAAGAGGGATACATGTATTAACTTAGAGCGAGATAGTGTAAATGAATCCAAAGTTTAGAAGCAATCTATAGATTCTGTACAGCCACTATCAACACTTTTTGCAAAGTTTCTAATAACAGTACAATCATTACCTTGCCTTTTCTCAAAAAATATTGGCATCACCTTCCCTGTCATGTTCACCTAAAACCTCCATGTGTTCTGGCCCTGCCTGAACTTGGCCAATCAACTTTTCATTAACTGCCACCTGCCCCCTACTTTGAGCCCAACAATATCTTGACATGCATAGCACAATATTATAGTTATTTTTTTGTCCTGTTAAATGATATCACCCCACCCTACTCTTATACTAAATACCATTAGATTCTAATGTTCACGACAACCTCTTAACCATAAAGAGCCTTTCCCCTTGGGCATTTGGATGCACAGAGAAAGAGAAAGTCATATTCGATCTCTTATTGCCAATTCTTAAGCCATGGAATTCTTCAAACAATTGAAGAGTGTTATCTAACTGTATTGCAGCATTCCTGGTCTCCCATGAAATAGCTTAAAGGAAAAGTTTGTTTTCACTTGGGGTGCAAGACAGGTACCCAATTTAAAGAACTTTAACCATATTGGGCCCAGGCTTCCAGAACAGGCCCATTTTCATTTTAACAAAATCCCAACCCAAGTCCACCCAAGTTGTATCCCTAGTTTCACTAGTAGTTTTTGCTTGAGGCCTTATCCTCTCTGTCTTCCTATCCTGCCAGAGAATATACATTCTCTTAAGCTTATTCTCTAAGCTATTCTTTTGATTATCATGAAATAATCAACAGTTTCATCACCAAGGTCTAGAATTTTAATGAACTATACTTTCTTGATACTTCATGTATAGTTTCTGATACCATGGTGTTTATTTACTTATCAAAATCCATTGTAGTAGTTCCAGTTTTTTAATTTATGTAAAAAATTATCTGACAATATAAAATTCAAATGTGAGAAGAAAATTAGTAATATTCCCACGTCTCTATTAGGAGTCTAAAAGCCAATAGAAAGATCAACTGTACAATTAATCATATAACACATTCACATATCATGTTCTCATGCATAAAAGTTTTACATGCAATATGCATGTAAACTAATTAGGGTACGCAAAAGAAAAAAAATGTGAAGACATAAAATATAACTACTCTATCAAGTCATGTGCAAGAAAGAAAGTTGCTCAAATACCTTTAATTAGGATTGTACAAGAGTATGGGTTCTTTACATTCTCTACAAATGTATATTTCTCTTCCCCAAGGATGTGCTCATAAACTAATCCAGCCCAGCCAAGACAATCAGGAGTTAAATCATCAACAGAGTTTACAGCCTCCCCACCACAAGCCAGGACTAGTCGCTCCATATTTCTCCTCTTTGCTCTGCGCAGGGCAACTATCTATAGAAAACCAAAGTCAGGAAGTTGCAAATATATGTAAAGGAATAGGAGGCTCCTTTTTCTATTGCAATAAAATGAGAAAATATAGTAAATAAAACAGAAAGTAAATCTAAGCAGTGTATGGCAAGTGAGAAGGGACAAAGAAACCTAGCAAGACAAGAAAGGGATTTCTAGATAAAATTAATTTTGAGAATTCAATTTTACATTTATTATACCCTTCACTAACTGCTTCTGAGTTCTGATTTATTAATTAAAAAGACAAATATTTTATAAGACTGGATAAGATAGAAGAAGGTGCAATAATTAAGATTAAAAAACAAAGCCAAGCACTAATAAGATGTCAAAAGGGGCAAACCATATACATGCATAAAACCCCAAGACCAGGACAATCAAAAAAGTATTCATAAAAGCCTTCCAACAAACTTGAAATGTTACCAAGAAGACCTATTCTTATAATCCTGTTCATTTTATTGTGGGTGTAGGTCTCCCATGGGTTTATTGTGTTTGGTAGTGAGTTGTATAGGCCTATGGGGTGGTTGGTCTTGTGATTTTTCTGAAAGATTCTTTTCTCAGCAGTCATTATTCCTACTATATGGGGTCAGCTACATGAATCCTGTTCCACATTCTGCTCTGTCCAGTGCCATATCCATTGTTAAATCATGGGCCCTTAAGTCATTTTTCACTACTTCAACCCATGTCCTCACTAATGCGGTAGATGGTCTTCTCTGCCCATGACCAAACCATCTTAGTCAACTTCTCTCATTTTATCACCTATGGAAGCCACTCCTAAGTTGTTTCAAAAAAGCTCATTTCAGATCCTGTCATTTCTGGTTTTCCGACCAACAAGATTATGACTATTCATAAAATTTTCCTTTTAGCCCAACTGACAAAACATCTCTTGGTTGCCAACCCCCAAGTGTATCCGGGTTTCGACTCCTGCTATTATTAAATATACATTGCATATATTAGTTTTAAGGCATGTTTCCATAAATCTAATTTTGTATTTAATCCCTCTCTAGTTTCATCAATTAATACTATTCCATCAAAATACAATATACACCACAGGACCTCTTGTGAACATGAATCCTGAGTTACAAATCATAAAAATTGTTAATATATACAAAGAGCATCTCCAATCAGAATAGCGAATCTTACTACACAACCTCACCTACCCTTAACCCAAATGTCCAGTGCATGTATGAGACTCTGGAATGGTTACATTTAAACCGTTTATTCCAAGTCCACATTAGCCTTATTCCTCATTTTGTACTGGAGTTTTACTTGGATAATAGTGGCTCTCTAGATTTTCATCTAAGCTAGATTTTGCAGGTTTAAGAAAGATTTTCTTAGATTAAAATGGCAAAATTTTGCAGGTTTAAGTCTACCCCACAAATATTGGAAAGGGGCATGGGGACACATTTTGGCCCCTAAGTAAGTTTCAATGTGGAAGATCTACGTGTGTTTCAGATTCCTTCACTATGTGATCTAAGGGCAAACTCATCCCTTAATTACACTACCATTAAAAGAACAACCCATGCAATCATATTCTGTTCTCAATGAATATGGACATGTAAACATGATTTCCTTTAACAATCATATTCTGCTCTGGATACAAGATTCCTTTACTACTGAAGTGCCTAGACATGCAATGCCTCTTGAGGGCCCCAGGTTGATTTAGTCACTTTTTTTTGATAAATATTTAGTTGCAAAATTAACTCCAACCTAAGTTTAAGTCATGATCAATATTTCCACATAATAGTAAGCAAAGATTGTGCAACTAACCCCAGCTCTAGCAAGAAGGTCCAGTGATGGAGGATCAATTCCCTTTTGGTTGATGACAATAAAGTTGCTATCATTGCCCGAGCAAACCTGTATGAAAGAAATCCCAAGTAATGTTTGCCATGCCATATGTAAAACTGAGTTTTCATTGAGAAAACCTTCAAAAAAAAACCACTGATCAAAATTGATATACTTTATTTTTTAGTTCAATGATCTTTTTAACTCTCTCATCAACTTGTTGCCTTTCAGCAGCAACCATTGCCTCTCTCTGCTCTGCATTCGAGTAGAAAAATCCTGCATTTATTTCACTGAGAGGTAAACTATTAGTTAAATAACAAATCAACTTGAGGCACTCACTTTTTTTCTCTTTTTTGGGAAAGGTAAAGTATAGCTCATTCAAAATATAACAATCTGTACAGAGTGTCTTTACACAAGAAAAGTGAGATAATACAAAAACCATGTATACCCCACTCAAGGCATTCACATTTGTGAATGAAGTTTTTCTGAATGTGAAAAATTAAGTCTGAAATTGTTAAGAACATATTTCATATTACCTCTTCTCATACTCCAATGATACATTGCAAGTCAAAATGTAACAGTTCTCTGCACGTCGCTTCATATCGGGGTGTCTAGAGCCATGATCTAGGACAAGACCCTCAACCTATAAGGAAGAGGCAAAAGGAGCTTTACAAACATAATATTTTCTAAAAAAAGTTGAACAAGGATTTATAAAGTTATAGCAAACTTAAGAAATTTCATAATGGAATAGCACGGAACATTTGTAGATTTACATCAAAAGACCCATCAAGAAAGTGGTGGCAGCATGGTCATACAATATTTTGCTAACAAGCCACAAAACCCATGCCTTATCCCAACTATATGGAGTTGGCTACATAAATCCTGTTTCACCAATCCATTCTATTTAAAGCCATATCCACTGTTAAATTATTAGTGCTTAAATCATTTCTTATTACTTCTACTCATGTCCTTTTTGCTCTACCCAGAGCTCTTCTAGCCCCTTCAATGTATAACAAATCACTTCTTCTAACTGGCATAGTCAGTGGTCTTCTATGCACATGCCCAAACCATCTTAGTCTACTCTCTCTCACTTTATCACCTATTGGAGCTACTCCTAGGTTCCTATGGATAACTTCATTCTTAATCTTATCCTTTCTAGTTTTTCCACTCATCCATCTTAGCATCCAACAAGTCAAAACTCAAATTAACAAATCTTTACCCTATCTATTTAGGGCAGGCCTTGCTAGTAAGGTCAAAAATAGGAAGAGATGAATATGAAACATGGAAACACTGTTATAATGTCACCTATTTTACTTGACCATAGTTATCCCTTAGATTTTGTATGGTTCTAACTTCCAACTACATTATGCCACCCTTCTTCACTCTCTTTGAAAATCCAACTATAACACTATAAGAAGGAATTCAACCAATGAAAATCTCTCATATTAACAGGAAATCAGCATATAGCCTCCCAACATTTACATTCCTTGAGGGAAAAATCCAACTATAGTAATAGGGCTTTCATTGTAGTCAGCTTGCTTGTTTTATGTTTCTGGTTTCCTTGCCCCTCCCAAGAGGGTAAGCATTTTCTTTTATTCCTTTAATTTTCAATTACAAATTCTCTTGCCATCCATTAAAATTTGCATCAACTATGCCAACATTGTGATATTTAATCCCACCCCCTCTTATCCACCATAACTCTCAACACTACAGTGCCTAGGCAACCAATCAATCATCATCAACATCTGCAATATCAGCCTTAAGAAGAACAGGCGGCTAAAAACCTACTTTTCCATTCCACTCTAAGAACATGCCCTCCATCAAAGAACTAGCTAAAAGAATCGCCCCTCATACCTGAACCGCATCCTCACCCCTCCTTGTGTTTTCACCTTCAACTTGGATCATACCACTCTTTCACCAGTAGGGGAGCAACTAGGATGCCAGGACGGGATCAGGTTTAGCATTTTCTAGATTTTGAATGGACCTGGCACAAGGGCCTAAGCCCAACGCTGTATAAATTCTCCAAACCAGGTACTTGACTTGCATCCCTACTCACCTGTGCATTTTTTTTTTCACGTTTATTTTGCTTGTCCTAGTCATTTTATAGATTTCTTCATTACCAATCTTATTTTTACAGTCACCTTAAGAAACCTCCACTCACTTCTAATGGCATGCAGAATCTGATAACACTACTGAAGAACATCTCCACTTTAACAACCTAGCTCTTATCATACAATGACATCCTTTCAAAGTGCATAATTGAGCAAGGAGATCAAAAAAGCATTGCTTTGAGAAATCTTTCAGCCATCAATATTAAAGAATTTCTTATTTCATTCTTTTTTTTCTGAAAAGGTAAAGTAATTTTATTGAAGAATGAAGAAAAGTTACAGAAGAAGTCAGTCCACTATGGTAATGACTAGAAATAACAAAAGTTACAGCCACCAAAGGGATTGAGTCCTGAGCTACTGGACTACATTTACATGATTGAATGCTGGATTAACAGCAACCCAAGACACCAGCTTGCTAACTGCACACTGCACAATCTCATCAAGATTTTTTTTTGTTGCAGAAAATTCTACTATTTCTTTCATTCCAAATAGTCCAAAGCACAGCTGCGGGGATAGCCTTCCACGCCAGTTTTCCTTTTTTCTTCAAACCCCTGATCTTCCAGCAGCATAAGAAGATCTTTGACAGAATTCGGCATAACCCAACAAACACCCACAGCACTAAGAAAGTAAAGCCACACCTGGGCAGTTACTGGGCAGTGTAAATATAGATGCTCTGTAGTTTCAGGCTGCTGACCACACAGACCACAATAAATGTCTGTCAACTGAACTCCTCTTCTTACAAGATTGACTTTAGAAAGACATTTGTTGAGTGCCATAACCCAAATTAGGAAGTTGACTTTAGAAGGGCTAATAGGATTCCAAACCTGTTTATTTGGAAAATTCACAGCACCTGAACTGTTAAGCTTGAGAGCCATAGACTTAACCGAAAAGCACCCATCTTTGCTCCACTTCCAGTTACATTCATCCTCCAAACTGGTGTCAATACACTGATCCTGTAATGTAGCCAGCAGACCCAACACCTCTTCCAATTCCCAGTCATACAAATTCCTTCTAAACTGAGGAGCCCAAGTTACACCGTTCTCCGAGAAGGAGTATGAATCAGCAACCCAGGCATCCTGATTTGTAGCACAATGAAACAGAAGAGGAAAGGAATCAGACAGTGGATTCTCCTGGCACCAAGAGTCCTTCCAGAATCTGGTTCCGTCTCCTTTACCAATTTTGAAGCTTAGACCTTCACCAAAAGAGGGGAAGCATTTCATAATGCCCTTCCAAATGGAACAGCCCCAGTTTGGGAGGGAATCTAAAGATCTCCAATTTCCTCTGGCCACCCCAAATTTAGCTGCAATCAGATTTCTCCACCAGGCATTTCTTTCTTGCGCAAATCTCCAAATCCACTTACTGAGGAGAGCCAGGTTAAAGTTCTTAATTTTCCTTAATCCTAGCCCCCCTTCCTCCTTGGGAAGACATATCTGTTCCCAATTGACCAGATGGATTTTCCATAACATTCCATATTTACTTAAGTCGGCTTATTTTGAGAACCACTGAACTCTAGAGCCATATATTGTTAAATCAGTTGATTTTAAGATTTGTGGACCCTGAAGCATCTATCCATACTGTATCCATTTTTTTTATCAGCAACTCAAGAAATTTTATTAAGATTAAATCCATACTATATCCATGCTCCAAAACTTTTTTTAAGTCAATGTTCATGTTTCAAACCTTGAGTTTGTATCATATATTTAGTCCATTAAAAAGAAACTATGTTGTTTGCAAACAACATAACCATAGGAACAACTCCCGAATGCCTAGGCCCTAACCAAAACAAAATGGGGGAAAAGGAAAAGGAGAAACAATAATAACAATCTCATCAACTTCTTCTCAACTCCATAATCTTGGAGTACCAACTCTAATAATAAAAAGCAACTACAATGGTATCTCCATATTCCTAGGAGAAAAATATGTACCTCTAGAACAATTATAAGTCCCACGATGTCCCAGCAGGTAAAAGCGAAAAATGAGGTATAGATGAAACGGCAGCCAGTCCTGAAAGGCCTCTCACAGGACTGTTTTATTTTACTTGACTTTACAGCTTAACTTAGGCACTAGGGCATGCAGATGTTGAGCACCATGCTATCAGATCATCAGAGGGAGAACTTAGGCTGCATTTAAACCTTAGGTCACAGGAGTGAAATTGGACTGAGTTCCATATATGCCTTGATTCCTCAAATGAAATTACTAGCCCTCCCATGTCACTTCAAATTCTGATAAAATATGGATTTGAGGGCAAATATCCAATGTTTCCACCTCCAATTCCAAATCCACCCTAATCCAAAGACAGCCTTGAGTAGTTCAACCCCCCAGGCCTGGGTGACCAAAACTAGTTTTGGCACAACTCCCAAAAATAATTTAGTCCCAAGCTGAACTATCTCCAGAGTGGACCAATATTCAATAAGTGAAAAAGGAAGACTTTTTTTATGCAACAACTGCTTTTAGCAGCTTTCTTCTAATTATTAATAACCAATGAATGAGAAGGAGAAAGAGAAATAGGAAGAATTACTATGCAAATAAAAAGAGAGGATAATGCACGGAGGGTGGATTTGTCAAGCAAAGGGATTGACATTATTTGTCATGACTCAAATTATATTCTCTTTGGATTGCAAGAAAGAAAGCAAATTCTCCCACCAAAGGCACTCCCTTTTCCCAAATAGTGTACACACATAGAATAGATCTTGGCTTAGGCTAACCATAATGAATGCATCATCATGTCAGAACCCTTAAATTTAAATTCTTGAAACTGGTTTACCAAATAAATAGTATGTATAAGTAGAATGAATTCAAGAAAATAAGATAAACATACCAAACGTGTGTCAACATCAAACTTATGGCGCATGTGCATAATTTCCACCATGAATAGATCAATAGGCTCCTCAGGCTTGCGAATGCAGAGCACCTGTTCATATCAAAGATATCCAAAAGAAATATAAATGGTGTATCATCATATATGGATAAATAAAAGGATTCAGTACTGAAGAGTGAAGACAGATCTTAATAAGAAGAATGGGATCAAAATAAATAATTCATAAGTACTCACTGCATTAACAACTATCTCAGTCAACTGGTCTGCCAATGCCTCATACAACTGTAAAGTAAACAAAGAAGAGAGTGTAAAATATGGGAGCAATTCCTATAATATAAGCAGGAAAATAAATAAAAAATAAGCTAAATCAATTTTACCTTTGTCCGAAGTGTTGTTCTTGCTACCATTTTAAGAATCTCTTTATCAGGTTCATCCCCCATCACAACAGGAGTCTTAAATTTCTCAATAAATTGGAGAGTTGCTCTTTTTGCAATTTCAAAACCATCAACCAATACGCGTGGATGCATCCCTGGAACATGTATTATTTTCATGTAAAAAAACTTATTTAAGGAACAGAAAAAAAAAGAATTATATAATCTCATAACCTAAGCATATTGGCAAGAATACCCTAAGGCAAGAAAATCCAGAATTAGCATGTGTATATGCCAAAATACCATAAATAAAAATTTATAATGTATGAGTATAACTGTAAAAGGATCTACATTTGGTTTTGTATTTTACATTATTGCTTGGAATTGAATCATCTCTACATAATTGATAAACTGTGTTTATAAACAGGCACATAAGCACATGCATACCATGATTTTGACACCTTCAAATGCAATGAACACTCTGGATAGGAGCAAACTGTGATACTATGCCTCCAGTTCAATAGGGATTACCCAACATTTTAATGTACTTAAAAGAGGAATATTGATCAACCATAACTTTCATATTTAATAACCATGAAAATTAATTTATAGAAACAATATTTGAAGAGTACAATTACTCACACTGTAGATCACTACCAGTACAAATATAGTCATATGCATAAAAATAGCAAGTTACCAATTATACGCACATTTTAAATGCATCCATCAATCTATTTGCATAATTAGACATGTGCCACCCTATGCATATACCTTAGTGTGTGCTTGTGAGGATAATGTACTTAGAATTATATGTGAAAAATGATATAGAACTACCAGTACAAATATAGTCATATGCATAAAAATAGCAAGTTACCAATTATACGCACATTTTAAATGCATCCATCAATCTATTTGCATAATTAGACATGTGCCACCCTATGCATATACCTTAGTGTGTGCTTGTGAGGATAATGTACTTAGAATTATATGTGAAAAATGATATAGAAGCAAACATGTAATGCAAATGGCTAATTAATATCTCACAATTTCAACTCCATTAACTCAAACTCCAAAATCTCCAGGATTCATGTGACACTAGGGGAAAAAACGTAGCTTCTAGATTCTGTCCTTGGCACCTTGCAATAACAGAAGTAGGAAAGGAGGATGAAAAAGAGACAATCAAAGTTACTTAGGAATTTGATATTATGTCTATGTGATCCTGTTGACAATTGAAGATTTTATTCATGTACAATATAACAGATGAAACCCAGTATAGAACAACTTATTTGCAATTTGACATTTCCAGAATTGACCACATCTTGAGAAATGAGATTGATAAATGCAATTTTTCCCTGGACAACAGAAGGCAAGAACAGGATGCCTACTCAAATGCTACATAATAAATACATAAAAAAAGAATAACTGAAAACCACTTGAACTAATCTGTGCTGATTGCATCTTCATTCCAATTTGAAATGCAAAAGCCTGACCATTTGCAGTATGCAGAAATGCATAGTGCAAACTAGCATAAACAAAGAAACCCCAATTTGAACATGGGCATGTATTGATAGAACAAGCAAGAAAATCAAGCACATAGTATCCATAAATGACTTCATTAACATGTTGGTGTACAATTCTGCTTCAGCTCAAGAATTGGTAGGTCAACGAGTTTCCAGCGTCCTAATGTAATTCATGTAGGAGACCATGCTATGGGCCTGTTTTAGGATGATTATTAGTTCTAAGGCTTTAAGTTACGATTTTATTAATTTACTATTTCTTGTTCTTTGTTCCAGTGCTATCTAAGCATTAGAATCCATTAGTAGAAAATCTTTCTAAGTTCCAAGTGCTACTAACCTTCATCAATGTAACGCTCGGACTGTTTCATAAGCTCGCCAATGAAAATCACAGTAGAAGTTGTTCCATCCCCACTTGCATCGTCTTGGGCAACGGCAGTTCTTGCTATCATGATTGCGGTAGGGTTTTGAATTTGCTGGAATCCATATATGAAACATCATTATACCGACTACGCGACACCATGGAATGAAATAGGAACGCTATAAGATATAAGAAGAGAACTGCATAATAGTACAAATGGGAAAGCTGAAACTCAAAATGTCTGATCTTCCTAAACTCAAAAGCTATGTTATGGTGTTTGTTGCACGTAAAATGACAGCGAAAAACGAGCTCCTTCCAAAGAGCGAGTAATAATTTTAGGGAAATGGCATTGCCATTCAGGTCTGTAATACAATTTAAGCGAAACGGAGGGAACAAACTGGAAAACAATTCATTTTCATAGTGAATATCATTTCCCATAGAAAGTTCGTTATCCCAATTTTACGTGCAAACATGCGCGGTCTAAACGAAAATTTTTGGAAAAAAAAAACAATTGTGAGAGGGAACGAAATAAAAATGGGGTTTTGCAGAGCCAACCATTTCCTTCAAGAGAGTGTTGCCGTCTTTAGTGAGTTTAATGTCTCCCGCACCCCCAACAAGCCTGTAAACTAGCAAATTCATTAGAAACCGAGAGAGATATAGAGATCAAGTACAATGTCAAAGGTGGTGGAAAGAACGAAATGGAAGCGGGAGAAGAACTCTTTCTTACATCTTGATGGTGCCCTTGGGTCCGAGGTTGGTCCTGAGAACATCTTGCAAGCCCTTGGCAGCATTGATGTTCATGTGCAGAGCTGCAGACTTGTTGAGGACTTCTGCGTTCGGATTCAGAACTCTAAGAGACATCTTCTATGTTTCACTGAAGAAAAGTGGGAGGAGCAATAAGAAACCAGGAATCAAAAACAAGTTCAAAGCTTCCTTGCTTCTATTCGAGGCGGGGGCGAAGCTACACTTGAAATGGGCTTTAGGGCTTTCTAGAATAAACTCTTGATCTACAGTTGAGTCCGGATCTCCTGCGCAGGAGAACTCTGCCCACGGTTATCGCAGACACACATGGAGAACATCTCATGCAGTCATCCTATACTCTGCAGGGAGAGATGTTCCCAATTCACGATAGGTAGCTACTGTGAGTAGGTGTGGGCAGAATTCTTGTGGGCAGAAGATACGGAGTCTCTAGACCCTTTAACGGTATTCAAGAGATCGGAATCGTTTTTCCTTTTATGAGGAAAAATCAAAAAATAATATCATTTTTTTCCCTGGATATTATTTGAATTTCGTAGCTAAATGTTTCAAGTTTTTAAAATGTTTTAGCAACAAAGTTTTCACCGAAGCTTTAACAAAAATTAACTGAATAATTTCCAGAAAAATCTAAAACTTTAAGAAAAAATAATATGAATTAATAGGGTTCTACTATGATACCACACAGATGTGATATTGGAAAAATGTGTCACCGATCAATCGGTATCATAAATGTGTTATTAGATGGTATTTTTTATCGGTATCGGCATCATAGATTTTCCCAATTTAATATGTTGCTATCTCGACCAAGAATTTAAAATGCCAACGAATATAAATACAATTTATCTCCATTAGATAAAAGGGAATATAAATGTAACATGGGTTCACAATACAATTTTTTCGAGTATCAATATTAATATCAATATATCCATACTATCTATCTATCTAGATAGATAAATAGAGAGAGAATTTAAAGAAAGGTTTTCAAACGATCATTTAGATATGTAGTTTTTTCAAATTTAGACATATGGCATTTTCTGAGAATTTGTTGTTAAAGCCCGCAACCTATTATCACAAGTGGCTTTTCATCTTCTAGAAAACTAGACATGTGGCAATTTCTGAGAAATTTCTACTAAAGCCTACAACCCACTACCAGCTATAACCCCCTAGACACGTGGCCTTCTCATTTTTTTGGGAAAGTTAGACACATATCATTTCCTGAAAAGTTGTTGCTAAAGCCCACAACCACTACCACCATTTTCAATCAATTCCTAAAAATGCAGAAAATGTAAAAGTGGTTATCCACAACCACTTTTGCCTACATTCTATCAATCTCAGTTAATCATTAATCCTCTACATATCATAACAAAAGAAAATTATTCATATTCTAATAATTATTAAAAAACTATTTTTTAAATAAAATATTTCTTAAATTTATAATAATTATTTAAAATATTAATAAATATAAATTTAGCATTATTGATTCCATAATGTATATTTAACATTACTGATTCCCCGTACTAAGTCATTCATCATTTGGAATCTATCATTAAATATCAATGTTTTTTCCACATATTACCCCCAAAAAGCTTTATTATTCCATTTATGAAAAAAGGCGACTTGTATCTAAGAATAGGATGTTACTGAGATCACATCTCCTCCCCACAAGGGGCCGCCCTATAGCGCATCCCTGCCATGTATTGGGAATATCTCTTGATAATAGTATTATAACCAATGATGTCATCATCAGGAGATGCTCCCAATACACGACAGAGATGTGTTGTGGGGCGTTGTGGGGAGGAGATGTAAACTCGATGTTGTCGTGTGTTGAAAACATGGCCCACTGCTCGAGAACAATTGGCAGGCGTTCATTTGTGCGGTGCTCAAGGTGATTTTATGCTTATTGTCTTTCTCTCCCCTGTAGAAGATAAGGGTGTCAACGGTATTCGAAAATCTGATTTCGAATTCAATATTTGACATAATCAAATCGAATTCGGATAATTCGAATATATAATCGGTCGAATTCGGATATGACTTGAATCGATTCGATAAATATCTGAATTTGACCAATTATTTAATTCTTATATACAATATATAAAATACTTTTATAATTTATATATTTATATGCTTTATATCAACAAAATATTTATTAATTATCTAAAATAATTAATTAATCGAATTCAAATCAAATCAAATATTTAATCGGATTCGAATTTAGATATTAATTTTCAATATCAGACGGATATCAAACCGAATTCGGATATCGGATTTTCTAATCGGGATTGAGATTTGGATATTGCCTGATCCGATTCGAATTCAATCCATTTACACCCCTAATAGAAGCTGGGTGGAAACTTACCCTACAAAACCGGGTCTTCGATCCGACCTGTTCGGACAGGAGGATTTTCCCAAATCATAAATGGGAACGAATCGGGTTCGGGGATTTTTATTTTGCCCGGGACCGGGGACATGGCGGGGATGGGCTTTGCATATAAATCCCCAAACCCGTCTTGAACCTAGCTGTAAATTACAATAATACCCTTTTTATATATAGATGTGATCATGTAAGTTAGGTTTTGGCGTTTTGCACTTTTGGTTTCTCTTCTCACTTCCAGTTCGTCAGCTCTTCTTGGCCTCTTCTTTAGCCTTCTTAGATCACAGTTTGCCCGCCAACCACTGGGGATGGTTTTGCACTTTGTGCTTTTGGCTCTGTTCTCCCTCTCTCAGTTCGCCCATCAACCATCGGGCATCATAGTAATAGTGAGACAGTGGCTCCATTATCTGTTTTTCCCTCTCTCTATCTCTCATTTATCTGTAACTATGTTTCTCCATGTACTCCATAATCGTTCTTTGTGGTGGTATGTATTTAAGGCTTTAAGCTTTACAAATTTTGAGATCTACTGATTTGAATCATTTACAAGTTTTGAAATCTATTTGGTGCCACAGATGTAAATAAAAGATTTAACAATAACAGAGAATCAAATATATAGTAAGTTGGTTCCACTTCCACAATACAAAACCACATAAAAACACAAATAAGAGTGTCTTGAACGGCTCCCAGAGCAAATCTTTGTTTTCATTTTGAGTTTGATCTTCGGTTAGTCAGTAGTCAATCGTTATCCTCAGCTTTATTCTTTCAACAAACTATGAACTTGCCGTATTGTGAATTTATGGTTTTTCTTGTATAATTTCTGTTGTTGTCTTGTTGATGTGTATACTGTATTAAACATGCCTGAAACTGGAAGCACTATGTTTGGTGAAGATAAAATGCCTGGAAGGCTGGAACTGGTGCGTATTCTGTATAATTCCTACTTGTGCCTTTTTCATCTAAAGACAAAATGACTCAACCTTATTTTCTTTTTTGTTCTTTGCATTGCTTCTTTTCATCACTAGGACCTCCATTAATACCAACAGATTGGGTTTCTGATTCCTAACTTTAGTTGAACGATTATAACTTCTGGAATTGATTTTATTAGCATACTTTCCACCAGTACTGTTACCACCCATCGAACAAAGATCTTTTGATGAAAATGAGTTACTAACCTTATTATAAGACTGAACCTTATTCTGTGTTGATATTACTATTTCTTATAGATGAAACAAATATCCTCCTTTTCTGTTGTATGACATCTTCCTAATGCTGTAGAAACTAGAAAAGGTTGTCTATAATCAGACTCTTGGGAGCATAATTTCCTGTACAAAGATTTCACGGAAATAGCCAGATCTATCCTAGCCCCATAGTCTCTTTATCTTGATGGTCAACACAAGGTAGCACATGTTGGATTTCCCTTACAATTCATTAAAAGAGTTAACCTCCTAGTCATTTAGGTCTCTCCTGAGCTTGGGGCACTAGATTATGGAATTGTTTTGGGTTTCATAACATTCAACCACCAATACTTCCGTATTTGAGTTGCTGGGCAGAGAGGGCAAGGAAGAAATAATGCTAATCATATCAAACTTATTATTAACTAGTAAAAGTGTACTCATGTTGCAGGTGGCAATATCAAATGATGATGATGATGATAGTGAGCAACCAAATGATGTTACTGGTTGAACCATTAATCTGTTTAACCAAGAAAATGGACTATGATTAAGACATTAATTCATTTTTTTTGTTCTTTTTTTGTATTTTAGCCATTTCTATCTTTACTAACAATAATTCTTATTTTTCAAACATATTTTTGTTTAATATGAAGAATATATAATATTAATGTATGCTCAAAATTTTCTATAAAATTTATAAAAAATTATATATTTTTTATTTTTTATTATTTAATTTATGAGATAATAAAAATTACTTATTTACCAAGGGGAAATGCAATTCCAATATATTGACCCATTTAATATTCGTTACTTAGTTATTATCTCATCTAAGTAATTTCAATATAAGTATTTGTTTCAACTATTTTAATGTATGTATGTATGTATGTTTTTATATAAATTTAATATTCGTTACTTAGTTATGACATTATAGATTGACCCATTTGACCCGAAATGTTAGATCATTGACCTACCTACCATCTAGATATGGAAATTGTTTCATTTTCAAACTGGTTTTAAATTTTGCATTTCATTTATATCATTGATAAAATAATTATTATTTATCATATTTATTTTTGTTTATATTATTAGTATATAATATTATAGATGTGCCCAAAATCGTTTCATATTTTTTGTACTATTCTATTTTAAAACATTTATTTTTAACTATAAATCATGGGTTAACCTATTTGACTTGAAAGGTTGAACCACCAACCCACCCCGTAGATAGGAAGATGGTTTCATTCTATTAATAACTATTGTGTATGAATTTATTAGTGGAATTTAATGATGATAAACAAAAGTATTTTTATATTTCTAAATTTGTATTATTTATTTATTATGACATCATGAAATTATCCATTTGACCCAAAGGGTTGAACTAATTACCTACCACCTAGATGCATGAAAAATATGATTTCATTTCTATGTTTACTTTAAAATATAAAATTTTATTTTATTAATAGTTATTGTGTATGGATTTATTAGTGGAATTTAATGATGATAAACAAAAGTATAAATGTTGGACTTAATGAGAGAGAATGTGATTTATTTAATGATTTAAATGTGAGACTTAATGAAAGGTAATTGAATGTACTTAATGGTATTATTTTAATTAAATTTTTTTCCCTTTTAATGGAGATTAATTAAATTCAAAAGGAGGGGTATTTCAGTAAAGAAAAATTCTAGAAGCCAATACCTC